TTCATCCGACATTTGTGTGCGCGCAGGAACTTCATGGAAGGAAGGTGCAGTCTTTCCTCCCCCCTTCGGCAGCAGAGAACCTGAACTTTCCGTAACCGTTGGTTCCACGGTGAGTTTTCTTAGTTTTTAGTCGGTTCTGGTCTCCGGGGATGCATCCGGACCGGAGCCGCTGTGGGACGCAAACAGCCCCGACAGTGCGCCTCTCAAACCCGACCAAAGACCTCGTGGAAGCTGGTTGCGCGCAAAAATGAAGGAAAACTGAGAAGTTTTATGTTTTAGGTTCTTGTGGGGGGTTTTTGGACTAATTATCAGAAGATGGATCGATCATTTTGGAAAAGGCATGAGTTGGATCTCAGCGATTAGACGGAACCCCACACGATGCTGCTTCCATTCTCCAGCGTTTTGTGTTTGTGCCTGTGCAGCGAGGCCGCAGCGAGTCAGCCCCGATGGCACCAAACAAAGACGACCTTCAGTCCTCATCGGGACTCCACCGGCGCTGACCGGAGTGCACAGAGCCGGAGATGGCGCACAGTCACCCGGGAGGACGAAGGAGGAACACTCGGTAGGAGCGTGCAGTCCCTGTGGCCGGATTCTTTTCACCCGTCATCCTCTGACCTGCTGTGGACTCGGGTACTCCTGCGCGTCGTGCGTAAAAGCGACGCGCCAATTAGAGTGCGGCGCATCCCATGGGTATCCAGAAAGGAAGCTTTACGCGCGGATGTGAGCAAGGCCGAGAGCGGGGGATGTCGTTCCGGGGACGCGTTCCAACACCCCCTGCAAGCACGCGCCTGTAGCCTCGGGAGAAGAGGCCGCAGGAGGAAGCGGAGCGAGCCGCCGCGGCACGGAGCAACTGCCATGGCGCAGGAACAAGAGCCCGTACCGCCCTTCGGGCTCAACAACGCCAGCGACTATGAGGAGGAGTACTCTCTGCCGGACCTTCCCTACGCCACGCCACGTTCCGTCAACCCGCGCAACGGACGGAAGCAGTTGAGGAACCCGTTCTACCCGCTCGGCGCGGAGGCCGCTGGCGCGTACGCGGTCGTGGTCGTCGCCGCCATCATTTTCGCTGTGGGTGTCATCGGGAACGTTTCGGTCATGTGCATCGTGTGTCACAATTATTCCATGAGGAGCATCTCCAACTCGCTGCTGGCCAACCTCGCGCTCTGGGACTTCGTCATCATCTTCTTCTGCCTGCCGCTCGTGGTGTTCCGCGAGCTCACCAAGGACTGGCTGCTCGGGGACTTCTCGTGCAGGATCGTGCCCTACCTGGAGGTGAGAGGGGTCAGGGTTCCGCTCTGAGTTTGGGGGGTTGGGGTGATGTCGATGCTGCTGATGGACCGGAAGTGTGTGTGTCACATGAGTTTGATGTTCCTCTGTTTGGATGAAGGAAATAAGCAAATTATTGAATCATTAGAATTGAAAGACAAATCTACACGTTTTATGTGAACAAAACACTCATATGAGCAGAGGTCATATCTGAAACACGGGATTAAAGGTATGATGTAATAACTCCCCCAATGCCAGTTAGTTAGAAGTTTTAGGATAAAAGGCCTCCATGTTGAGCTGACGGGGAGTGACAGTAAAGTTTGTTGCCCTTTAAGATCTTCACCAAACTTGATTCCCAATCATGTGTCAGTCATCAGTAAAAGTACGTTTCAGCGTGAAGAACTGTTGGTGAAATCTGTTGAGAGGTTCACACTGCGGAGAAAACTCACATCAAACCACTCAGGAATCATCAGCCTCTTCTGACTGAATAGTTATGACAATGTGCAAACTTTCAGAATTCAAGATTCATCGATTCTGAAAAAGGTTTTCAGGGGCAGATTTATTTTAAATGATTTAAATCTGACAAACTGGTTGGTGTTTCAATCCGGGTTTAATGTTTCTACCCGCCCCCGTGTGAAGGGTCCTTAATCTGACAACACCTGCTAATCATGTGACACCCTGCTGCCCAATCACAGTGGATCAATGAAGAGTGCCCCAGACTGAGATTAGAGAACGATGACCCCCTCCGATCAGTGGATTAAACAGGAGGCTGAGATTATCTGGATATGTGTAGACCTTGAAAAACAACATTTATTTCCCCTTCATCCCTCAAGCAAATCATAATATATCTTTTGAAATGTACACTCCAAAAACAGAAAATGTGAATTTGGCGAATTTCTTTCAAGCAAACAAACTCTGCTACTGTGTAGATTGGTCCGAACTTGCTGGTACAGGCAACACACCTGCACACCAGCACACCTGGCTCTGAAAAGTGATGTCAAAGCTTCATGAGTTAAACCTGCATCCTCTGTAGTGACCAGCAGGGGGCGACTCCTCTGGTCCCATAGAAGTCTATGAGAAAATGTCTTCTCTCTTGATTTATTCCATCAGTAAACATTTTAAACATGAGTTTATGGTCTTCAGCATGATGTTCATTTAGTAAATTATGGTCCATTTAGAGTCTAACAGAGTTTAACAGACCATAAAGCAGGGGATGCTTTAGGGCGGGGCTACACGCTGATTGACAGGTCTCAAAGACCACTTAATGCGGTTTGCGAAAAAACAAGATGGCGACGTCCAAAATGCAGAAACCAAGGGGTGACGTCACCATGACGTCCACTTCTCACCGAGTCTTTGGGAAAAGTTTGGCTGTACCAATATATAATATATATATATATATATATATAGATATATATATATATATATATATATATATATATATAGATATGTTCTATATCTCCAGTATGTTCCTGTTTTTATTCTCTCGTTGGGGTCTAGGGGGCGGAGTCCCGGCTCGCCTTTAAATCCTCAGAGTGGCTGAACGTGTTTAATGAGACGCTTTATGGAGTTTAATCTTCTGATCCGCTGCAGCTCTTTGTTGGAGATGTTGACCTACATGACTCCATTGATGTCTACGGACCGTCATCTTCTCTTTTCTAATTTACTTTCCATTTTTTTAGTCTTTCTAATAATGTAACACATTGTTTGTGTTTTACTTCTTGGATGATGGTTATTTCATTAATTCCAACAGATACATTGATTTGAGATCAGTTGTGTTGATGTGTCTTAGTGTTTAATTGAGCGCATTTAGCCTCGTATGGTGAAGATATCTTTGTTTGTCTTTGATGAACAAAATCTACACAGTGTCTGCGTTGTGTTATTTTTAAATGTTGGGGAACAAAACTGTAGGTCTAAGTTGGTATTAATGTTAGATAATAATACTGTGAGAGGTCATATGGTCATATATGGCAATTAAAGTTAAGTTATATTCTTATTCCTTCATAGTAAACATTTGAGAGCAGTTTCTTGATTAACAGATATTTGAGGACAGTGAGGAAATGAAATTAAGGATGAATGAACAAAAGGAATAAAGCTCAGTGTAATTTTAGCTTCAGCAAGTAAAAACAATAATCGTACCAATGTTCACAAACTATATCAATAACAACCTTTGTGAATTTTTTATTGTAAAAAAATGATTATATTGAATTCCTTTTTTTTTATTTCAAATTCCAAATCATCATTTGATATTATTTCCTTATTCCTCAAAGTTTTGACTATTTTACAAATATTCTGACTTTCTTCGCCATGGTGAGTTAAACAGATCGGCTGTTGTGCTCTCCCTCCAGGTGGCATCTCTCGGGGTCACGACCTTCACGCTTTGCGCCCTCTGCATCGACCGGTTCCGCGCCGCCACCAACGTGCAGATGTACTACGAGATGATCGAGAACTGGGCGTCCACCGCGGCCAAGCTCGCCGTCATCTGGGTGGGGGCTCTGCTGCTGGCGCTGCCCGAGCTGCTGATCCGCCAGCTGGTCACCGAGGACGACGACCCGCCGGACGCGGCGGGGCCGTGCGAGCGCTGCGTGGTCCGCATCTCTACCGACCTCCCGGACACGCTGTACGTGCTGGGGCTCACCTACGACGGCGCCCGCCTCTGGTGGTACTTCGGCTGCTACTTCTGCCTGCCGACGCTCTTCACCATCTGCAGCTCGCTCGCCACCGCGCACAAGATCCGTCGGGCCGAGCGGGCCTGCGTCCGTGGCGGCGCGAAGCAGATCCGGCTGGAGAGCCAGATGAACTGCGCCGTGGTGGCTCTGGCCATCCTCTACGGTTTCTGCATCATCCCGGAGAACATCTGCAACATCGTGGGCGCCTACATGGCGGCCGGCGTCCCCAGGAGGACCCTGGACGTCCTGCAGCTTGTCAGCCAGATGTTTCTCTTCTGCAAGTCGGCGGTGACGCCGGTGTTGCTGTTCTTCCTGTGCCAGCCGTTCACCCGAGCGCTGCTGGACTGCTGCTGCTGCTGCTGCGAGGAGTGCGGCACGCCGCGCCGGGCGGCCGACGCGACCGCCGCCGACAATGAGTGCGCCACCACCGAGCTGGAGCTGTCGTCGTTCGGCACCACCCGGATTGAGGCGTCCACCTCCTACGCCGCCGCGGGGACGCACTGTTAAGGTCAAAGATGAGCAGCGTTGTGGGCGGAGCCTCCGATGAGGAGGTTGATTGGTGGACAAGTTGACACGTCTGGCTGTGGACTTTTAAAAACAACTGCTGGACGCGTTTACTTTCTCCTCCTTTCTCTGTTTACATAGTTTATATATATGTACACACATATATATATATATATATTATATATATGTGTGTATAGCACAGACAGTTGTAGCTAATAGCACTTAAGGGTTTAGCTCTTTTAAATTTACTGCACTCAGTCCTACTTGTTGTTTATCGAAGCCGAGAGCAGACGTGGACCCCGGGGAAAAATAATCATGTGGTTCGATATCTTTAATTAAACTAATTTTTCAGGTGTCTTTAATTTCATTACAATTTCCTTTTGGCAAAATGGGGTTTAAGCTCAAATTTGGTTTAATGTAGTTAGTTGTGAACTACCGCCTAAATTTCTGCTCCATTTAAATACAAAACACTTATTTAATCATTATTTTCATCCAAGAATTCTACCTTCCATATTTGTAAATTTGACAATTTGTTGCATATTGAGTTAACTTCATGCAAATAAAAGACTGCGCTAATTCATTCTAGTGATGGATTATGGAGCTGTAAGGCCGGGCTGTGTATCTTTTGACCAAAAACCCCATTTGTGCTCAGTGTGATCAGTAATGTGCATACAATGACTCAAGTGTAAGATGCTACACATAATGGAACAGTCTGCTGAGCGTGGTAAAGTTACAGACCGTGAACAGTGTTGAAATAACCGAATAACCGTTTTCTCTCAGTGGGGCCGACGGGTTTCATGCTGTGTATTTTTTTATCTTTGTTGATGTTTAGCCACAAGCCACTGTCACTTTAATTAAACAATATTGTAAAGTAGATGTTTTTCGTTAATTGTGGGGAACATTTAGAAGGTGGAACAGGAGAAACAAGCACTGAACCCGAGGCGTCACTTCTCACGGTTCAGTTTCAGGACAGGAAGTCAAAAGGTGAATGTGTCATTTAACGAGGTGACAGATGTAGAAATAACAACTTCACAACAGTAAAGCTGCTGGTAGGATGTTGAAACATTTTCAGAAGATTTGGTACAAGCGGAAAAGAACCAGTGAAACAGTAAAAATAAATATAAAACCTCATTTTGCCGTCTCTACGTCTTCGTCTGTCCACTGGACACAGCTGCCATTGTTTGTCCTGCTTAGAGCCGACACAACATGTCCTCGTCCACTCAGAGGTGCACTCCTGGGACACCGGGCCCTCCTCGTGCACGACGCAGAGCAGGAAGTCAATGAGAGAAACATCTCGTGCAGATTGTTTGTTTTTGTTGTTAAAATGACAAAAGAAACAACAATTAAAATGTTGAAAAAAATGTTTTTCTGCTGCGTCACACTCGGCACAAATAGCCGCTTTTCCTCTCGTCATCGCCGCCCATCTCGCCACGGGAGGACACAGCCACGCCATTGTCCTCATCCCCCACCCCCGTTGTCGTGGCGACGCAGGGAGTCTGCCTCCCAGCTGGCCGCCGCAGTGAACAGCGCTACAGTACCACAGACAGCACATGGAAGCTCATTTGTTGTGGAAGAAGTTGCCTCTGATGGTTTCTGGTCGGAGCCGGTGTGGCCCCCCAGGAGCTTTACAACCTTGTCAGTGATACACGCTACAATACGTGGCTAAATCATCCCAAAAACTGCGGCCGACAATGTTTGAGAGAAGAGAAATGGGGGGGAGGGGGGGGTCCATGTTACATAGTGAGGACTTGTTCTTCTTTGCACAGTTCTGAGTTCACTTGTTCAAAGGTCTGTTTGAGGGTAAAGCCGTCTTCATATCAGCGGTCGGATTGGTGATCAGCTGTGAGTACATCCAATGGCTCTCTGTGGGCCTCGTTTCGGCGGGAGTTAATAACATTTTAACGTCTCGTGGTCTGGATGCATTAACGTGAATGAAAATATCTTATTTTAATGAGAACTAAGTTTCTGTACCCCCCACTCCTACCAATTTAGATAAAATGATATAGACTTGAACTTGAGCCGTGGGAAATGACATGACATCCTTGTCTAATTGTATTCTTTTGAATTATCTGGAGGGCGCTTCTTGTACGTGGACCACATTCTCCTCTAATCACCCGTTTGCCTTTGATTTGTTCTCTGGCACCAAACCCGCGTGTTTGATTCTTTTGTAAACGAAGCTGGCGGACCCAGTTGCTGCTCCAGTAATTAGACCTCCCCATTTTTTCACAAACAATGGTGAGACGGGTACACTGAGGCTCACTGACCTTCTCCCAACTGCTCCCGGGACGGTTTTCTGCGATGAGACAGACGTCCTGGACGGGTTGCGATCGCTGCCATCTGATTGGTGGACGGGAGCCAGGCTCCCACGGCAACCAAAGTCTCTCTCTTTTTTTCAGGAAAGTTTAATTCATGAAAGCTAAAATAAAATGTACCGTGCAGCATTTCCACAGACAACTTGATTGTATTTGTGTATTTTTGACCTAGGAGAAAAACACTGACGGATAAAGATGTGAACCAATGACTACGCTGCCATTTAAGTCATCTGCACCACGTTTCTGATCAGCTGACCAGAAATGGTCAAGATGTCAACCGCTGATGATCGCCATCACCGTCCTTATCTCCAGATGTTCGCTGACAAAAAAGAAGAAGAAGACGATGCCTGACTGCGGACACACTTTTCCTTCTCTCCCCTCTGCAGTGTTTCACAGGGCTTCTGCTGCAACGCCCCCCAGTGAAGAGTCTTAATGGGCGCTGTCACACAGCTGCAGTGATCTGATTCTCTGTAAAGATTCCCTCCAGACATGCAGCTCCCTCCCAACAAACCCCTCACATCCGCAATCTGTTTCGTCACGTGGCGAGCTGAAAGGCAGCCGCCGCTCCGTCTCGCTTCCCGAAGTTCAGAAGGACTTTGTTTGGACTGAGATGAAGCTGTTTGCGCCTCTCTGGGCATAAAGTTGCCGTCATGTTAACTAGTCAGCAGCAACAGTGTGACAACAATCAACAATCAAATACCTCTGAGTGGCTCCGGACCCATTGTGATCGATTCTTCCTGCAGAGAGTGCTAAATGACGGCCACGTAATTCATTTGTGCCTTACCCCTCTGGGGGGGGGGGGTTAAGGTCAAAGGTTAACGATAATTACAGGCAGAAATGTGAATGGGGATGGATCTGAGAGCCCGTCCATCCAATTACCACCATGAAAGAGTCTTTGAGTCAAAGCATCCATAAAGTCTCTTCATCGGCGGGGGCCCGGCTGTTTGTTGCTGGGAGCATATTTCCAATCTGAAAGGTGGGGAGGGGGGTTGAGTCCCCCCCAGTGAGAAATCAGTTTGGGCAGTGGGGCGTTCATTCACAGCCGGTGACCTAGAAATGTTGCTGTGTTCCCCAACAAAGGAGAGGATTAGGACAATAGCGCTGCCCCCCCCCCCCTCGCTTCCATCTCAAGGAGCAGATTACACAGGGAGGTGAATCAGTGAGCACTCAGCTGTTCTCGTGTGACCCCCCCCCTAGTAAAACGGTGTCTGGAACGCTAATAGCTGGATGTCGATCAGCTCTGTCGTGTTGTTGGGGCCATGTTGACCCTTCCTCTAATGACACCTTTTGACTTTTTCGCTGTCTCTGACCACTGGGGAGGCGGGTCAGGGGGGGGCAGTGAAGGAAGTAATTCAAATTAGCCCCGCATTTACCAGCTGCAGCATTAATGAACATAACTGATATTATTTTTAGATCTGAAGCTGGCCATACTTCTGCATGACCTTTGTTCCCCCTGTGATCTGTGCACTGATCTGTGGCTACTTTAAGTACACCTCAAACCGCCTCACCAGACCATAACAAGTACGTCTCTTACATTTTCTCACAAGCTTTATCGAAAGCCAAAGCGTTGCTGGACAAGCATCCCATAATATGAAATATTCATACAGCAGACAACAGGCCGGCTGTCAGTCCGAGCGTCACTCAGACACTGGGTTCTTCTGGACGACCAGCTGATGCCAACCGGTCCTGAATATGGATGAGAGGACGTGAAATGGGTTGTGACATAAAATTCATTCATTCATACGACAAAACAATGTGGGTCTCAGTCCTGAGCTCTGCACATTCCACCACAGATGGCTCTTATTTTACAATGAACGCTCTATTTACTACAAACGTTCTTCAGTGCGGGTGGGAAGATTTCTCTTGTTTTTTTGTTTGCCTGGCAAACAGAGAGACGGGCATCAATCTTCTACTCTCGAAAAAAAAGGTACTTTGAATGTGTTTTCCGATGTGCTGAAGTATTCAGACAGAATTTCTAAACGTTGTAAACGCAACTAATTGCAGACCTGAGAATTGAAAAATCAACTCTGTAATGAATCTCCAAATACTTTTACCAGGTTTCTTCCTATCAGTCCCTTGTTACATTCGACAGGTTCTTTGGAAGCTAAGCCTTCATGGCATCAGATTGTCGTTGGCTCTTTGTTTGTAAATTCAAACAGGAGCAGACATGATTTGAGGGAAAATGCTTCCGACAGGACGGATAAATGGAAGAACATCCTGCTGCCTGGAAGCAGAAAGGCAACACCCTGCTCCCAATACACTTAATGTGTGCATCCATGTTCCTGTATTTAAACTAAAGATGTATCATAGATTGCATAAATGATCAGCTGCTCTTCAAACTGCTTTTCTTGCATTTTGGCCAGCTTTCTTCATGAGAGTTTTAGAAATATGGAACAGCTTTGGCATCCATTTATCAAAGATTCAGGTTTACCTCTCATGCTTTGAAGGATTTGGCCAGATTTCAGTTTTGTTTTTTATAGTTAAAGTCCTTGAATACTTTCCATCTTAAGATTCTTTGCAGTGCATCGTTAAGTGCTGCAGGGTTTTGCTGTGTTTATGGTCCGTGGTTCAGTGTGTAGACGGAGCTCTGAGTCCCCCTGCAGGACAGAAACCTGCAGCTTAGACAAAGTACCTCCTTAACACGCCCCATGTATGCTACTCTATTCTTTAGCTGTACTTTTTACTACTATGTACCATATTACCAACATGTAATTATATTACACCAGCTGCTATATTAAAGGGATGACTGCAGTAATGCATGAACTAATAAAACGCTCACCATCTTAACTTTTGTGTGCTTGTTTGTAGTGCTTGTATGTATTATAATGCATTTTTAATATTAGTCATTTGAATTGTTCTTGCATGCATATTTAAAAAGAAAGTTCTGCGAACAAAACAGGTGAAATCCAAATACTTTTTAATGCAAAGGCGGTTGAAAAACGAGTACCAGGTTTGTGCAATTAACTTACATCCTCATCCCGACATACTTCACAACGTGCACCATCGTCAGTAGCGGGAAGCCCTAACCCTAACCCTAACCCTCAGGGACGCCGTCCCGTCGTAGCACATGCAGTCGAAGCTCCGCACGTCGTCGTTACAGATACACAGTTAGAGCGGTGAGAACATCAAGACGTTGTTCATGGAGGACGCCGTGGTCTCAAAGATGATGCTGAAACATGGCGTCATGTTGACCCCTTGCTCCTCAGTTTGTTTCAGAACAAAAAAGTCTTATAGGGTAGATATTCAACAGAACTGATTTAACACGAGGTATGAAATACAAAGAGGTCACCAGCAAGCTGCTTCAAATATTAGATTAAAAAAATTGCATGTGCATTTTTACACCATTATAAAACCCCAAAACGTTTTTTCAAGTTAATTTCCTGAAATTAAGCTCCCGTCACAAAAAAAATAATTTTTCTACTCAAACAACCTCCTGAGAACTCATTTTCCGTGCATTGTTCTTGGCACATTGCAGTCTTTCAGCTTGGTAGGTGTGTGCGTGTTTCTCTGTACCGGGCAAAGGGCCTCACAGCCGCGTGCTGGAACCCGGTGTGATCCTGGCCCTCTGCTGCTTCTGTTCCGATGGACGTCTCTTTGCAGGCTGATGTGTGTTAAGTTGCTGATGACACACACCTGGGAGGAGATGCAACGTGAGAGGCCGCACTGGTGAGCTCGGTTTCGTTTCTCTGCTTCTTCCTTCTCCTCAAAGTCAAGTTTGATATCAAGAAGTCTGAGGCTCTGTTTTTGTTCCTGGTGGGTTTTTCCTCTTTTCTCTGTGGGTAATGAGTCACGCGTGAATCAGGAATGATGACGTCATCAAAGGCTCTGGAAAAGTCTTATAGGATATTCAGGAGAGGTATTTGTATGAGGTACTTCTAGTCCGTGTACTACTACAGTAGATGGAGTACCAGCAAAGACATGACACATTAATGAATGTCAAACCACCAGTCACAGTTGAATCTGTTTAGAACATGTTCTCCAATAACAGTCATTTGACCTCACCTGTCTCCTTTTAAAACATCAAAGTCACAAAATGACAGAAACTGGTGGAGGACGATTTGCAGAGACAATCGTAAAACAAGAATATGTCTTTCTGTTTATTTCCCTGCAAGGGAAAAAAGGTCACAACAGCTACGTGCTCAGTAGACTGAGAAGAATATCTTATTTATTTATTTTTTCTACATACAGGGCAGAGTCGTTCTTATACCTCAGTCCAGACTGGTGGCAACAACAGAAACTCGCTTACATCCAACAGATGTGAACCAACTTGTTGTTACACTACTCGAGACATCTTATCAGTGTGAGACACTTGCTTTGCCACACAACTCCAGCACCTACAATCTATAAACTTAGTACATTGTACATTTGAAGGGTTAAATATATTTTCCCTATTGCATTCCATTCTTTTGATCACATAATAATCACACAATATGCATTAAATGAACACATTTACACACTCTAATCATGAAATTATACACCCGACAAACCCATGGAGTCTTGTGCCAACTGACACATCTTGCCATATATCACACCTGCACCCTCGGCTAATCCAAATAATTAATAATGAAGGATCATTTTCTATTATTAAATCTGGAAAAAACGAAACATTTAAATTTCTTTTTCATATATTTTATTTTTTCATGACCAATAATCATATTTTATCGATGTAACGATTCATGATAGAGTCTTTTACAATAGTTTGTGTTTCAGGGCTCCACTCTTAAATAATCTGTTGCAAGAGCTTCAATTAGAGTCGAAACACTTGTGGAAACGTGTCCGGGCGGAGAGGGAGGAGAAGCTCCCTCTTTTCCCCCCGCCTGGAGGGGGATCTATTCAGAGGACGCTCGTAGATGAGGACGGCGTGTGGACACATCAATAAATTATTTATTTTAGAGAAAATCAAGTGTTTGTTCTACTCCGTGTGATTGAAAGCAGAGATGATCAGAGGAGCAGAGTTTGTACCCTTATTATCATGACTTGGACTAAAGTATGGGTAGAGTTTCTCAGTGAAGCAGCAGTCAGTAAAGGAGTAGATCAGAGCTGCAGCACCAACGTCATAAAAGGAGACCAGACCCTCCTCATAATCCACAAACACTCCCACCTTCTCAGGCCGGGACTCCAGAGAGAGACGGACTGATGGGTCAGCACAAGCAGAGTAACTATTCTTATTCCACAACCGTATCGTCCAGTAACCATCCTGAGGAGACGGTGAGATGAATCCCTTCCTGTTGATGGACTCTCTCACCACTCCTAACACCCAGGCAGTCTTCCCTTTAACCTGAACCTCGTAGTAAAATCTACCTGAAGAGAAACTCTGCTTTCCTAAAACAACAGGATGAGAATTAAACCTCTCTGGATTGTCTGGGAGATTCTTCTTTACATCTCCAAGTTTACCTTGTTTTCCATCATCAGACAGGATGAGTTGAGGATGTGCTGTATCAGGATCAAGTGTCACATCCACTGCAGACTGCTGGACTCTCTTCAGCTCCACCTCATCAAGCAGCTTCTTCATCTGTTTACTGAGCTTCTTCTCCAGCTGATGCACAGCACTCACCACAGTCCCCTCATATGAAGGTGCACTGACTCTGACTCCTGTCCAGTCCTTGGTGGGTGGAGCAGTGTTCAGGGTCCTGAAGCTCTGGAGGAGGTGGAGAGGGTCTTCAGAGCGTGAGAGCTGCTCCACCTCAGTGCTTCTCTTCTTCAGCTCAGAGATCTCCTGTTCCAGCTCTTTGATGAAGCCTTCAGCCTGTTTCTGTGTCTTTCTCTGCTTCCCTTTGATGGTGTTGATGAGCTCCGCCTGGCTTCTCTCAACAGACTCCTTCAGAGCGCTGAAGACCAGGACACCTTCTACTACCTCTCTGTCTGCTTCTTTCTCACTGAGCTCCACTGAGTGTTTGATCTCCTGAATCTTCAGTCGTCTCTTCTGGATCATCTGCTGGACTTCAGCCTCAGTCTTCCCCAGTTCGGCCTTCTTTCCTTCATATTCTTCTCTCAGAGGAACAACATCGTGGTTCTTGTGGTCTGCAACAGTGCAGAACATGCAGACACACATCTGGTCGGTCTTACAGAACAGCTCCAGCAGTTTATCGTGCTTCGTACACATCCAGCCTTCCAGGTTCTCCACAGGGTCCATCAGCTGATGTCTCTTCAGACCTGACATAGTCAGATGAGGCTCCAGGTGAGCCTCACAGTAGGAGACCAGACACACCAGGCAGGACTTGAGGGCCTTCACTTTGGGTCCAGTGCAGACGTCACAGGGAACTTCTCCTGGTTGGGCAGCTTGTTGCTCTGAGCTGCTGCTGCTGGCTTTCTGTTGAGCTGACAGTCTGAACTGAGCAGCCATCTCAGAGATGAACGTGTTGACCCGAAGTTCAGGTCTGATGTTAAAACCCTCTTTACAGTTGGGACAGTTAGGTGGGGCATTAACGTTCCAGTGGTCAGTGATGCAGGCTTTACAGAAGTTGTGTCCACATGGTATGGTGACTGGATGAGTGAACACGTCCAGACAGATGGAGCACAGGAACTGATCTTCAGTCTGCAGACAGCTGGCAGCAGACATATCGACACTCTGAGGACAACAAGTGTGGAGAACTATGATTAGTAGAACATCTTTGGTCTACAAGAGTCCGACTCTAATACCATAGAAACCACATCAGTGCTGTTTGTATCGTTATGGAGACGATCCTCCGATTTCCAACCAACTAGTTACAGCCAGTTGGTTTTATATTCTCTTGATGTACATGTAGACATGGAGAGGACACACAGTTTGTTCCTCTGCGTCCTAAAGCCATCCAAGTCCTGCTTCTTATAAACATCAAGAAGCATTATGAACGTCAACGTCTCTGAGCTTCAGCACAGAGAGGCACACACGCCGGGATCCCCCAACCGTCTCATCAGGCCTGGTACACAGAGCTCTCAGGAAGATCAACCCCCGCAAGGCAGCAGGGCCAGACAACATCCCTGGCCGTGCCCTGAGAGCATGTGCAAATGAGCTGACTGATGTTCTCACCTCCATCTTCAACCTTTCCTTCAGCATGAGCACCGTCCCCACCTGCTTTAAGCCCACAACCATCATTCCCCTCCCCAAAAAGAGCCCACCCACCTGCCTGAATGACTACAGGCCAGTAGCACTCACTCCGATCATCATGAAGTGCTTTGAGAGAGTGATACTGTCCCACATTCAGAGCAGCATACCGGACACCCTGGATCCCCAGCATAAACTCTCCACATTCCATAAACTCTCCACACTCGGTCTGCACCCCCACCCTCTGTGACTGGCTGTTTGACTTTCTGACTGGCAGGCCTCAGTCTGTCAGGATTGGAAACAGGACTTCAGCCAGCATCTTCACCAACATTGGCACCCCACAGGGTTGTGTCCTCAGCCCCGTCCTCTACACCCTGTTCACCCACGACTGTGTCGCCTCCCACAAGGATAACATCGTCCTGAAGTTTGCTGATGACACCTCAGTGATAGGACGCATCACTGGGTGTCAGGGATGCGTGGAGGAGGCAGGACTCAAACGCAGACTTCTTTAGAAAATAAAATACTTTAATTGTCAAAAAAGCAAAAGGCCAACAGGCAAAAACGCACACAAACCAGGGGAAAAACGGCAGACAGGAACTACGAACATCCACGACAAAAGACAATGACGCGACAAGTGACACACGGCTTAAATACACAAGGGAGGTGCAGATGATTGGACACAGGTGGAAACTATTAGACAATCACAGGGGATGACAGGACAAGGCAGGAGTGAAGTTACCCGGGACACGAGTGGCAGAAAACTACAAAATAAGACAGGAAGTGAACAACACCGTGACAGTACCCCCCCCCCCCCTTAAGGGCCGAATTCGGCTCATACTAGAGAGCGGACAAGGGGTGGGAGGGAGGAAAACCAGAGACGTTGGTCGGACCACCCGGGAAACTGTGGCGGGCGGCCAGACGACCGGGGAGCCTCTGGCGGAGGGTCATTTGGCCGGCTCCGGAGCAGGCACGGAACGTCTCTGGAATGGCTGGCTCGGAGACATGGGAAACCTCCGGGGTGGAAACACCGGCGCGGTCGTCAGCGGCTCGGGGACACGGAACACGTCAGCAGTCGGCAGCTCGGGGACACGGAACACATCCGCAGTCGGCGGCGGCTCGGGGACACGGAACACGTCCGCAGTCGGCGGCAGAAGTTCGGGGACACGGAACACGTCCGCAGTCGGCGGCGGAAGCTCGGGGACACGGAACACGTCCGCAGTCGGCGGCGGAAGCTCGGGGACACGGAACACGTCCGCAGTCGGCGGCGGAAGCTCGGGGACACGGAACACGTCCGCAGTCGGCGGCGGCGGCGGAAGCTCGGGCACACGGAAAACCTCCGCAGTCGGCGGCGTCTCGGGCACACGGAACACCTCCGCAGTCGGTGGCGGCTCGGGGACACGGAACACCTCAGCCTCCCCCATAACCCACCCCATAACCCCCCCTTTAAGGGCCGGAACCCAGACGGCCCTTGAATCACCAACGGGAGGGTGGGAGAGGACCATGGGATGGGAGGGAGCCTGAATGGAGGCGTCGGGGTCATGAGTTTAGGAGCGTCTCAGAGCGGGGACTGGAGGCGTCGGGGTCATGAGTCTCGGAGCGGGGACTGGAGGCGTCGGGGCCATGAGTCTCGTAGCGGGGACTGGAGGCGTCGGGGTCATGAGTCTCGGAGCGGGGACTGGGGGCGTCGGGGTCATGAGTCTCGGAGCGGTAACGGGAGATCGCTGCGGCGGCCCAGCGGGAACGGGTAATCACTGCGGCGGCCCAGCGGGAACGGCCCAGCGGGAACGGCCCAGCGGGAGCGGGAAGTCGGTGCTTCCTCTGGCCAGGGCTCCTACTGGCTCGTCCAAGTACTCAGGTCCGTAATCTGGCAGCGGGTCTGCTGAGCCCTTCTTTGGTCGCGTCATTCTGTGAGGGATGCGTGGGGGAGGCAGGACTCAAACGCAGACTTCTTTAGAAAATAAAAGACTTTAATTGTCAAAAAGGCAAAAGCAAAAGGCCAACAGGCAAAAACGCACACGAACCAGGGGAAAAACGGCAGACCGGAACTACGAACATCCACGACGAAAGACAATGATGCGAAAAAGTGACACAAGAGACACACGAGACAGGACAAGACAGAAAGTGAAGTTACCCGGGGACACGAGTGGCAGAAAACTACACAATAAGACAGGAAGTGAACCACACCGTGACACTGGGGGGAACGAAGCGGCATACAGGAGGGGGGTGGCCAATTTGGTGTCATGGTGCGAGGATAACAATCTCACCCTCAACACTGACAAGACCAAGGAGCTGATAGTGGACATGAGGAAGGAGAGGAGACCTCATCAACCACTTTTCATCCCTGTTACACCACAGTAAGCAGGGCTTATCACGCCGTCCCTCGTGCTGCACTGGGACACTCTGACCACGTCATGGTCCATCTGATTCCTGCATACAGGCAGAAACTAAACCTCTGCAAACCTGTGGTGAGGGAATTCAAGAAGTGGACCAGTGAGGCGCTGGAGGATCTTCGGGCGTGCTTTGACTGCACAGACTGGGATGTTTTCAGGACTGCTACTGACAGTCTGGATGAGTTCACAGAGGCTGTAACCTCCTACATCGGCTTCTGTGAGGACAGCTGTGTACCATCATGCACCAGGGTGAGTTACAACAACGACAAACCCTGGTTCACAGCGGAACTCAGAACACTATGCCTGCAAAAGGATCAGGCATTTAGGAGTGGGGACAAAGACTTGTACACAGAGGCAAAATACAAGTTTAGCAAGGCGGTGAGAGATGCTAAACGACTGTACTCTGAGAAACTCCAACAACAGTTCTCAGCAAGTGACTCTGCTTCGGTCTGGAGAGGCCTCAAACACCTCACCAACTACAAGCCAAAAATCCCCCACTCCATGAATGACCTCCGCCTGGCAGACGAGCTGAATGAGTTCTACTGCAGATTTGAAAGACAATGTCCTGATCCCATCCCCCACAGCTCCACCAACCTGCTGCAGTCCCCCACCCCTCCCTCCCCCAGCCCATCAGGTGCTCACGCCTCTTCAACTATATCACCTTCCCCTCCCCCACCAGCAACGACCCTCTCTATTCTGGAGAGAGACGTTAGGCTCTTTAGAAGACTAAATCCCCGTAAGGCAGCCGGTCCGGACTCAGTCTCCCCTCACTCCCTGAAGCATTGTGCTGACCAGCTGTCTCCGGTGTTCACTGACATCTTCAACACCTCCCTGGAGACATGCCACGTCCCAGCCTGCTTCAAGGCCTCCACCATCATCCCTGTTCCCAAGAAGCCCAGGATCACAGGACCCAATGACTACAGGCCCGTCGCCCTGACCTCTGTAGTCATGAAGTCTTTTGAACGGCTAGTCCTGACCCACCTGAAGTCCCTCACCGACCCCCTCCTGGACCCCCTGCAGTTCGCCTACAGAGCCAACAGGTCTGTGGACGATGCTGTCAACATGGCCCTCCACTACATCCTCCAGCATCTGGACTCCCCAGGAACCTACGCCAGGATCCTGTTTGTGGACTTCAGCTCTGCTTTCAACACCATCATCCCGTCTCTGCTGCAGGACAAACTCTCCCAGCTGCACGTGCCCGACTCCACCTGCAAGTGGATCACAGACACAGACACAGACAGCAGCACGTGAAGCTGGGGAAACATGTCTCAGCCTCTCGGACCATCAGCACCGGTTCCCCCCAAGGCTGCGTTCTTTCCCCTCTGCTCTTCTCCCTGTACACCAACAGCTGCACCTCCAGCCACCAGACCGTCAAGCTCCTGAAGTTTGCGGATGACACCACCCTCATTGGACTAATCTCTGGTGGGGACGAGTCCGCCTACAGGAGGGAGTCTGACCATCTGGTGTCGTGGTGCAGCCAGAACAACCTGGAGCTCAACGCTCTAAAGACAGTGGAGATGGTTGTGGATTTCCGGCGGAACAGAGCCCCACCCTCCCCCATCCCCCTGTGTGACTCCCCCGTCACTATTGTGGATTCCTTCCGTTTCCTGGGCTCCATCATCACCCAGGACCTCAAGTGGGAGCTGAACATCAGCTCCATCACCAAGAAGGCTCAGCAGAGGTTGTTCTTCCTGAGGCAGCTGAAGAAATTCAACCTGCCAAAGCCGATGATGGTCCACTTCTACACGGCCATCATCGAGTCCATCCTCTGCTCCTCCATCACCGTCTGGTACGCTGCAGCCACAGCCAAGGACAAGGGCAGGCTTCAGCGGGTCATCCGCTCTACAGAGAGGGTGATCGGCTGCAATCTGCCGTCCCTGCAGGACTTGTTCGCTTCCAGGTCTCTGAAGCGAGCTAAAAAGATCGCGGCCGACCCCTCTCACCCCGGACAAAAACTGTTTGTGCCCCTTCCATCTGGCAGGAGGCTGAGGTCCATCAAGACTACGACCTCCCGCCACACGAACAGTTTCTTCCCGTCGGCAGTCGGGCTCATCAACAGAGCCGGTCCCCCACTGACTGACTATAACATTCCACCGGTCACTCCCCTTCATACTGCACATGCCACTTTAACTGCAATTCATCACTTTGTCGTCACTCGTCACTTTGTCTCTTGTCTGTTACTTGTTCGTTAGTGCACTTTATGCTTAATATTTTTCTTTTTAACTTTTTAATATTTAAATTTTTTTAACTTTATTCCCTTGTTTTATACTAACCCATAGCCTTAGCCTTATTCTACTAACCCATTTCATTCCACTTTATTTTATTACTTGTGCACTGTTGTCTTGTCTGTCTACTGTCGCGCACTAACCGCCAAGACAAATTCCTTGTATGTTTGACATATTTTGGCTAATAAATGTTTCCTGATTCCTGATCCAGGAGCTTGAAGTTCAGAGGGTGAGCAGCTTCAAATACCTCGGGGTCCACTTCAGCGAGGACCTCACCTGGACACTCAATACAACGCAGCTGGTCAAGGCTCAACAGCGGCTGTACTTCCTGTACTGAGGAAGTTTAGGATGTCTCCTAAGATCCTCAGCAACTTCTACAGCTGAATCATTGAGAGCATATTGACCAGCTGCATCACCGTGTGGTATGGCAGCACATCCACTGCAGAGAGTGGTGAGGACAGCAGAAAAGATCATCGAGACCCCACTGCCCTCTCTGCAGAGCATCCACCACCGCACGGATCGCAGGAGAGCTGCCTCCATTCTCAAAGATCCCACCCACCCCAGACATGGACTGTTCAAGCTTCTACCCTCAGGCAGGAGGTACAGAATTGCCAAATGCAGGACCACCAGACTAAAAAAATATTTTTTCCCCCCCACTAGAGCCATCAACAGCTCTATAACCCAACTCACAACTGGTCTGCACTTTAGCTTGTTAGGATTTCACTTACTGTTACTGTACTGTTAATTTATATTGCACACATTTCATTTAATTTAAGTTTTTATTTTACAACCTGCCAGTGTTCATTTCGTCGACAAAATTTTTCGTTAACGAACCTTTTTTCCATGACTAAGACGAAACTAAGACGTGACGAAAACGATCTTAAAAAATAGAAAACTATGACTAAGTCTATTCTAACTTTCGTTAACGCAACGAGACGAGACGAACATGTTGGTGGTTGACGAAGTCACGATACTTTTTCCCCCTAAATTCGCACGCAGCTGACAGACAACAGACCGGCAAAGTACGGCGGATATTAACGCGTCATGATGACGTCATCCACGAACCCAGAACGCGCGTATCGGTGCAGCGGTGGTTCTTTTGCACCGACTACGGACCGCGACGACTGTTTTACGCTTCGGCGAGTTTGAATGTGGCTTCGTTAGTTTAGCTCAGCTGTCTCGGTTTAGCTGCCTGTTAGCAGGCTGAAGCCGCGCTGCTTCACAGAAACATGAAGACCCGTTTAAAGACTGTCGGACCTTTCTGCTCTGTTCTCTGGCGACGGCAGGCAGCGTTTCCTCGCTGGATGAGACGCTCCGTTACAGGCTTCTCCAAACACGTTGTGGTGTATTTAGTACTATTTAATATGTGCATTAAGTTTGTCCTGAAGACTTGCCGTTGTTAGCTAGAGGTATTCTGCGCATGTCTGAAGAAGTAAAAAGATGGACAATGCCCTCATGCCGAGCCTCGTGTGTTGTATCCTGACATTACTTATTAAACAGTTAAACGCGTGCCTCGTCTAGTTATTTAGTACACCACACACGTCTAACGTAATAAACTCATTGCAGGTTCTGAAGCCAAGAAAATAATGTATTGCACCGATTGTAGGTCGTTAAGGTCTCTTTTGTTGGGACAGTGGAAACAATAAAGGACCATGAAGTGTCAAAAGCATTGCAAGTAAACAGACAAAGAAAACAGTGTTGCGTTTAGATCCCTGGTCCTCATGAAGTTGTTACACCTTTGCCAATTTGTTAAATTGCCTTGCAAATAAATGCTTTGCTATTTGTTAGAATCCAAATCCTTTCATGTAATGATTTTTCACATGTCATTTATATCAGCTCACACAAACACTTCAACCATTTGTTCTTGGCCCGGCTCCTCCGTCACATTTTAAAACCCATTGTGGCCCGAGTCAAACAGTTTGCCGATCGCTGCTATAGACCTGTCCTAGGAGGGACATCTAATGGACAACCAAGTACTGCAAGCTAGACTATGCAGTTGTAGACACAACACAGCGGGTCCCTGGGCCTGAGTAGGGAAGAAAAGGAGTTTAATATGGCTATTAAATGTGACTAAAACTAATTACATTACCTCCTCCACCCTCCCTCCCTGAGAGGAGGAGGAAGGTAAAGTAAAAGTAAGAAGGATTAAAATGACTAAATGTGACTAAAACTAATATGCATTTTTCGTCTAAAGACTAAGACTAAATCAAAAATAGCTGCCAAAATGAACACTGCAACCTGCTCAGTTTTGCACTTTTCCCCTTGCCTCATTTCTGCCTTATCCTTACCTCCTTTTTATTTTTATTTCATGTACATTTATGTAAATATTGTATTTTTATTTTTATTTTAAAATTGGTCGGCTTTCCAGAAAAGGCAAGCACAAGAATTTCAATACACAGGGCGTATGTAATTGACAATACAAATCTTTGAATCTTGAATGTAATAACAAACATTAATGACAAATAAACCTTCTCTGTTCAGTAGTTGTGTCATCTGTTCCCTGATAAAAGAAACTTGTTTCTGCTGGAACCTAAACAGAAACATAATCTGCTTAAAAAATGGAAGAAGTTGCGATTAATGCATTTTGAATTGTTGCTCAGCGCTAGTTTTTATATTTAAAACCTCAATAACCGACAATGGCACACAGCCAAACATTCACCCTGAGTGGAACTTCCTTTCAAGTTCAACCAGTTTTGAGGTATTTTGTTATTTATTACAACCAGGAAACAGGTGTGTGAGTTAGCTGAAGCTAACGCTAGCTGTGACTGTTCAGTCTCACTTTAACTATCCAGAGTTCAGTCTCTGTGTTTGGTTTCTACCTCTGATGCTTTATCTAAAATAAGACATTTCTTATTATCCTTAATATTCTTCATGTGATAAAAGCAGACGTCCAACAGTCAGATTGTGGTCTGAACTAAACTGGGAGCAGATGTTTAGTTCATGTATCTAGTCTTTGTAGAGCAGCGTACTCACCAGAGTTTGTCAGAGATCCTGTTGTGTTGTTGATGAAAAGCTGCTGGATTCAGTTGTTTCTTTAGAGAGAAACAGAGAGACTCGTCTGGACTGCAGCTCTGCGTCACTCACACCAACTTTACTTTACCTTCCTCCTCTCAGGGAGGGAGGGTGGAGGAAGTACTCAGCTCCTCCTCTGAAGTAGAAGTACTTGTATTACAAGGTTAGAATAATAATAGGTCATGAATTCAAAACATGCTTTTATACCTAAATGTTTCTGGGTTAATATTCTGGCTGCATTAATGTGTTTGTGTATGTATATATATATATATATGTGTGTGTATGTATGTATATAAATATATGTGTGTATATATATATGTGTGTAAGTATATGTATGTATGTATGTGTATGTATGTGTCAGGGATGCGTGGGGGAGGCAGGACTCAAACGCAGACTTCTCCTGAAACAAAATAGTTTAATAGTCGAAAAGGGAAAATCAAAGGGCCAAGGGGCAAAAACACACAGGCAAGAAACTACGGACATCCACGACAATAGACAAGGACATGCGTGGCAAAAGACAATGACGCGACAAGTGACAACAGACACACATGGCTTAAATACACAAGGGAGGTGCAGGTGATTGGACACAGGTGGAAACTATTAAGACGATCACAGGGGATGACGGGACAAGGCAGGAAGTGAAGTTACCCGGGGACACGAGTGGCAGAAAACTACAAAATATAACATGAAGTGAACCACACCATGACAGTATGTATGTATGTATGTATGTATGTATATACTAAACCAGAGGTCTTCAACAGGGGGTCCGCGGAGGTACTGCAGGGGGGTCACGAAATTTTTGGTTGATAAGACAATTTTTTTTCCACAAATTTAAATGTCTTCAGAATCAGAATTGTATTTATTGTATTTTTATTGTTACACATTAACATGAATCCAACATATTGTAGCGAACGGATAAATTAATGTAGAACACATTATCTTTCAGTCCGCAAAACACACATCCAGCTTCCCACAGCAGCTCTCAAGCTGGGCACCGGATCATTCACAGCACCTTTCATGCTGATACACAGCAGAGGCACCAGCCAATCAGATCACGTTCATGCTCACGTAAAAGCGCAAAGCTCAAAAATAAAAGATGGCGGACGAAACTCTGTAGAATAGGGGGTCCCTGCTCCATCTCGCCATCAGTTTGGGGGTCCTTGGCCTGAAAAACGTTGAAGACCCCTGTACTAAACCTTTGAGATTCAACATTTAGACTTACATTTAACATTAATATTATTTAACAACTTTGTTACTGGCAAACATTATCCTTGGAAAAGTTATTGCATGAATGTACATGAATTTCTCTCTAAATGTTTGAAATAGTAACACGTGAATATTGTCATGCTTTTTTGTTCATATGATAATGCTAAATGTAGAAAAACTGTGCATGATTTTAGAACGTGCGACATTTTACAAACGGCGCCCCATAGCTGCAGAGCATGGCGGCCGCCGTCACGTTGGCGATGTACGGGTTGAAAGTGGACGTCAGGTACTCGGACAGCGACTCGCAGGCGGCCTGGAGAGAGACGGGATGAGACTCAGCTCGGTCCACTACAAGTTCATTTTAAAGGAGTACAAATGTGACCCTGCGAAGAAAATTAAATGAATTTAGTGTGATATTTGTATTCCCATGTGTGTGTGTAAATGTGTGCATCAACTATATGTGTGCATCAACTTCCATCCATCCGGCAGAAATGAACTGTTTTCACCATAAGTGTCGACCTGCAGGTGGTGCTAGAGAGCACGTCAGCGCGTCATTAAAATGGTTCTCTGGAGAACCCGAACGTCATGACATGAATCTATTTTGTAGTCGAATTATTTCAAACCGACCAGCAGACGAGTTTACAAGCATAACTACAAAGTAAACAGCTGCACAGGTGAGCTCGGTTTCGTTTCTCTGCTTCTTCCTTCTCCTCAAAGTCAAGTTTGATATCAAGAAGTCTGAGGCTCTGTTTTTGTTCATTGTGGGTTTTTCCTTTTCCTTCTGGAAATCCTTTTAAAACGTCAAAGTCACAAAATGACAGAAACTGGTGGAGGACGATTTGCACAGACAATCGTAAAGCAAGAATATGTCTTTCTGTTTATTTCCCTGCAAGGGAAAAAAAGGTCACAACAGCTACGTGCTCAGTAGACTGAGAAGAATATCTTATTTATTTATTTTTTCTACATACAGGGCAGAGTCGTTCTTATACCTCAGTCCAGACTGGTGGCACCAACAGAAACTCGCTTACATCCAACAGATGTGAACCAACTTGTTGTTACACTACTGGAGACATCTTATCAGTGTGAGACACTTGCTTTGCCACACAACTCCAGCACCTACAATCTATAAACTTAGTACATTGTACATTTGAAGGGTTAAATATATTTTCCCCATTGCATTCCATTCTTTTGATCACATAATAATCACACAATATGCATTAAATGAACACATTTACACACTCTAATCATGAAATTATACACCCGACAAACCCATGGAGTCTTGTGCCAACTGACACATCTTGCCATATATCACACCTGCACCCTCGGCTAATCCAAATAATTAATAATGAAGGATCATTTTCTATTATTAAATCTGGAAAAAACGAAACATTTAAATTTCTTTTTGATATATTTTATTTTTTCATGACCAATAATCATATTTTATCGATGTAACAATTCATGATAGAGCCTTTTACTATAGTTTGTGTTTCAGGGCTCCACTCTTAAATAAACTGTTGCAAGAGCTTCAATTAGAGGCGAAACACTTGTGGAAACGTGTCCGGGCGGAGAGGGAGGAGAAGCTCCCTCTTTTCCCCCCGCCTGGAGGGGGATCTATTCAGAGGACGCTCGTAGATGAGGACGGCGTGTGGACACATCAATAAATTATTTATTTTAGAGAAACTCAAGCGTTTATTCTATTCAGTGTGATTGAGAGCAGAGATGATCAGAGGAGCAGAGTTTGTACCCTTATAATTAAGACTTGGACTAAAGAGCGGGTAGAGTTTCTCAGTGAAGCAGCAGCCAGTAAAGGAGTAGATCAGAGCTGCAGCACCAACGTCATAAAAGGAGACCGGACCCTCCTCATAATCCACAAACACCCCCACCCTCTCAGGCCGGGACTCCAGAGAGAGACGGACTGATGGTCTAACAAGAGCAGAGTACTTATTCTCATTCCTCAAACATATCGTCCAGTAACCATTCTGAGGAGACGCTGAGATGTTTCCCTTCCTGTTGATGGACTCTCTCACCACTCCTAACCTCCACTCAGTCTTCCCTTTAACCTGAACCTCGTAGTAAAATCTACCTGAAGAGAAACTCTGCTTTCCTAAAACAACAACACACTGATTAAATCTCTCTGGATTGTCTGGGAGATTCTTCTTTTCAACTCCATGTTTAACTTGTTTTCCATCATCAGACAGGATGAGTTGAGGATGTGCTGTATCAGGATCAAATGTCACATCCACTGCAGACTGCTGGACTCTCTTCAGCTCGACCTCCAGCAGCTTCTTCATCTGTTTACTGAGCTTCTTCTCCAGCTGATGCACAGCTCTCACCACAGTCCCCTCATATGAAGGTGCACTGACTCTGACTCCTGTCCGGTCCTTGGTGGGTGGAGCAGTGTCCAGGGTCCTGAAGCTCTGGAGGAGGTGGAGGTGGTCTTCAGAGCATGAGAGCTGCTCCACCTCAGTACTTCTCTTCTTCAGCTCAGAGATCTCCTGTTCCAGCTCTTTGATGAAGCCTTCAGCCTGTTTCTGTGTCTTGCTCAGCTTCTCTCTGATGGTGTCGATGAGCTCCGTCTGGCTTCTCTCAACAGACTCCTTCAGAGCGCTGAAGACCAGGACACCTTCTGCTACCTCTTTGTCTGCTGCTTCCTCACTGAGCTCCACTGAGTGTTTGATCTCCTGAATCGTCAGCCGTCTCTTCTGGATCATCTGCTGGACTTCCGCCTCAGTCTTTCCCAGCTCGGCCTTCTTTCCTTCATATTCTTCTCCCAGAGGAACATACTCATGGTTCTTGTGGTCTGCAACAGTGCAGAGCATGCTGACACACATCTGGTCGGTCTCACAGAACAGCTCCAGCAGTTTATTGTGCTTCGTACACATCCTGCCTTCCAGGTTCTCCACAGGGTCCATCAGCTGATGTCTCTTCAGAACTGACGTAGTCAGATGAGGCTCCAGGTGAGCCTCACAGTAGGAGGCCAGACACACCAGGCAGGACTTGAGGGCCTTCACTTTGGTTCCAGTGCAAACGTCACAGGGAACTTCTCCTGGTTGGGCAGCTTGTTGCTCTGAGCTGCTGCTGCTGGCTTTCTGCTGAGCTGACAGTCTGAACTGAGCAGCCATCTCAGAGATGAACGTGTTGACCCGAAGTTCAGGTCTGGTGGTAAAACCCTGGTTACAGTTGGGACAGTTAAGGCGGGGCATTAACGTTCCAGTGGTCAGTGATGCAGGCTTTACAGAAGTTGTGTCCACATGGTATGGTGACTGGATGAGTGAACACGTCCAGACAGATGGAGCACAGGAACTGATCTTCAGTCAGCAGACAGCTGGCAGCAGACATATCGACACTCTGAGGACAACAAGTGTGAAGAACTATGATTAGAACATCTAGTAGTAGAAGAAGTAGTAGTAGTAGTAGTAGTAGTAGTAGTAGTAGTAGTAGAACATCTTTGGTCTATAAGAGTCCGACTCTAAATACCATAGAAACCACATCAGTGCTGTTTGTATCGTCATGGAGACGATCCTCCGATTTCCAACCAACTAGTTACAGCCGGTTGGTTTTATATTCTCTAGATGTACATGTGGACATGGAGAGGTCACACAGTTTGTTCCTCTGCGTCCTAAAGCCCTCCAAGTCCTGCTTCTTATAAACATCAAGAAGCATTATGAACGTCAATGTAATAACATTAATGACAAATAACACAACTACTGAACAGAGAATGTTCATCTGCTCCCTGATAAAAGAAACTTGTTTCTGCTGGAACCTAAACAGAAATAAAATCTGCTTAAAAAATGGAAGAAGTTGCGATTAATGCATTTTGAATCGTTGCTCAGCGCCAGTTTTTATATTTAAAACCTCAATAACCGACGATGGCACTCAGCCAAACATTCACCCTGAGTGGAACTTCCTTTCAAGTTCAACCAGTTTTGAGGTATTTTGTTTTTTATTCCAACCAGGAAACAGGTGTGTGAGTTAGCTGAAGCTAACGCTAGCTGTGACTGTTCAGTCTCACTTTAACTATCCAGAGTTCAGTCTCTGTGTTTGGTTTCTACCTCTGATGCTTTATCTAAAATAAGACATTTCTTATTATCCTTAATATTGTTCATGTGATAAAAGCAGACGTCCAACAGTCAGATTGTGGTCTGAACTAAACTGGGAGCAGATGTTTAGTTCATGTATCTAGTCTTTGTAGAGCAGCGTACTCACCAGAGTTTGTCAGAGATCCTCTTGTGTTGTTGATGAAAAGCTGCTGGATTCAGTTGTTTCTTTAGAGAGAAACAGAGAGACTCGTCTGGACTGCAGCTCTGCGTCACTCACACCAACTTTACTTTACCTTCGTCCTCCTCTCAGGGAGGGAGGGTGGAGGAAGTACTCAGCTCCTCCTGTGACGGCCTCCGTGTGGTTCATTCAGGCCACTCGGTAGGAGTGATACCCAGTGCTGTAGTAGTAAAATTAGAGGTGGGTAAACTCTGAATTTTGTGATCATACAGACCTCGACGCGATGCGAAGCAACGCAACACAAAGCGTCGCGACTCTGTAAGGCTGTCCTGCCTATATTGCATTATGTTATCAGTAAAAGTCATATACAATCAATGACAATGAATAAATGTGTTAGTAGTTTGTAGTTTATTAAATTTAAGAAAACAGTAAAGAAAAGTATGTCAACACAACACAACAAGACAATTGCAGATTAAGAACTATCTACATATGGAGTCTCCTTTTTACAGTAGTGCCCAGAGGGCCTCCTTGTCCTCCACGTCAGGTCCTGCCTTGCACAGAGAAGCCAATGAACCCAGGAACCGCGTGTTCGGGGTTAAGGGCCCCTCTGTGCTCTCTCTCTATGGGACCCGTGGGTTTCTCTTCTCCCGTGTGTTCTCGGCATCATGGCGGGTCTTCTCACTGCCGGAAACATTTGTGAATTTAGGAGTTACCCAGTTAAAGCAGCCGGTCAATTACACGGACAACATAGGTAAAGGAAACCCTCATGTCCACCTTATGTCATCATAAATATGTTTTTTTTTATCACATAGAGAACTGACTTGTTTTTTATTTTACGCGTCCCCAGGCGTTTTTCTTGTCCTTTAAGAGCGCGCGATTACTCCCCCCCCCCCCCCCCCGCCGGACCTTCTCGTCCGCGAAATATTGTCTGACATGAAACCGGTCCGTGAGGTAAGAAAGGTTGGGGACCACTGGGCTGATCCACACCACCTGGATCCTGATTGGTCGCTGCTGCAGCCGCAAGGCACTGATTGGATGCTCACAGACCGTAATACAGCGCAGATGAACATGATTCAGACTACGGCGTTTATATGTTCAACAATAGGAAACGTAGTCTTAGCTGTTTTAAAATTACACTAAGTTTATTTTGGATTATTCCAACGGAAGAATACAAGGCGCAGGGAACTTTGAGGTGCGTAAACGCCACTTAAAGGTGCGTAAACGCTATTTATAGGTGCGTAAACGCTATTTCCAAAATTCTAGATGTGCGTAAACGGCGTTTACGTGCGTTTACCCTCCACTACAGCCCTGGTGATACCTCTATATGGTCGTAACATCTTTGTCTTTAGTTGATGGCAGATGGCAGGGCACCTGGTGGTGCGTGGTGAGCCAAGAGTGATAAAGCCCACCTGATCGGACTACACGGCTGGCTCTTCACCGCAATGTATACACTGCTTGTTTTATTTAAGTTATCTGTTACAAAATATATGTTTAGTTGATTCCTTTGTAAAATAAATCACTTTTGACACGTTAGGCTGCCTCGTTCCCTCGTTTGTCATGGCCCTTTGAGTTTTCAAACTCTTTGCTGTTCTGACCTCCATCTGTCTCTGTTGCGGTCATGACTAATAATTCTCCCTTCTTATGGGTGCGTCAGTTCTGGACTCAGTCGTGTCTGTGTATTGACTCAGCATCACAACTAAAGTCTTACTTTTAACAGACAACTTACCTTGATTTACCGCCTGGTGGAAAACATCATTTTTCTCTACATTTTCCCTCAATAATGTGATTTAATTTAGCTTTTTCTCAGTATGTCAATGAAACCAAAAGAATGTAAAGTTTATTTTCAGGCATTAATTTATTAACGTTGGCTCTTGGTTTTTAATTCAAATAAATCAGGATGTAACTATGGGAAAGACACATTTAAATATGTGACTTGTAAAATGTACAATTTTCTTACTTAATATCTGTCCTTGTTTTAAACAAACACAGCATCACTGATGTAATAAACGAGCCCATCATCTCATTAAAGCTACAGCAGTAATTAAATGTAAGCCTTGGCAGGAAGTGTGCTCTCGCACTGGTTAAACCCAGATGTGCATGATTCCGGTCGGCCGGGACAGTTTGGGGGAGCAACCCCGCCCCGCGTAGCACTGACAGGTGAAGTTCCCGGCCCAGACCTCCAGGTCGGCAGCGGACGGGATACCGATGGCCACGAACTTCTTGCGGACCCGCAGGATGCTGAAGTGGGCCGGGTTCAGGTGCAGGTAGTCGGCAGAATCGTAGCTCTTCCTCACGCAGCGCCCCCCCCCCTGGCACATAACCTGGCTGCAGAGCATGGCAGCCGCCGTCACGTTGGCGATGTACGGGTTGAAAGTGGACGTCAGGTACTCGGACAGCGACTCGCAGGCGGCCTGGAGAGAGACGGGATGAGACTCAGCTCGGCCCACTACAAGTTAATTTTAAAGGAGTACAAAAATGACCCCGCGAAGAAAATTAAATAAATTTAGTGTGATATTTGTATTCCCATGTGTGTGTGTAAATATGTGCATCAACTTCCATCCCTCCGGCAGAAATGAACTGTTTTCACCATAAGTGTCGACCTGCAGGTGGTGCTAGAGAGCACGTCAGCGCGTCATTAAAATGGTTCTCTGGAGAACCCGAACGTCATGACATGAATCCATTTTGTAGTCGAATTATTTCAAACCGACGTTCCAGCAGACGAGTTTACAAGCATAACTACAAAGTAAACAGTTATAATATCCTCGTCACACTTGAATGACAACAGAATGAATAACAGACAGAAAAGCGTTTTAGTTTGTTCTTTCCCATCTGTTAGTTGAGATAACAAACACTGCAGCGTCACAGCTGTCAGTTCCCCCTGAAACAGGAAACAAAGGCAGGTTAACTGTTTGCTGAGTAAGGCCTGGTCCTCCGTGTTTCCCCTTTCAGACCTGCAAAGAGTTTACACAATGTTCTCATAGGCCGAGACTCTAAAGGGGAGAAAAAGACACACAAGCGTTTTGGTACTTTTGACTGTGAGCAGGTGTGTTCACCTTGTTGTCGTAGTCTTTGGTTCCTCCCCACATTACGACCCCTGAAGCTCCCAGAGCTGCAGACTCTCCCACGGTGCTCACCAGGTCCGTCTGAAAGAGGTCGAACCACAGAGGAGATCTAACATTTTCCCCAAAACAAACCACACTCCTAATATTTATCTTGAGCTTGGATGTCGATCGGATGGATAGCTTCTTTTAAAGCCCTCGTATGGAGACTTGGACCGTGCTGCTGACGGATTAATCACACAACAGTTCAGAAAGCTCTGTGTTGAGTTCAAAGATGGATGACTTGCATCTTTATGAACCCAAAATGGCAGTATAGGTTAAATAAAAGAAGCCCCCAGATTCCACCAGAATCCGAACCGGTGGTACCAGTGAGGAGCATTAATTGACTTTTTAGAAAACGACAATCTTCTGGTCTCGTTTATGGATGAAGGTAATATAGATGGTCAGGATTAACGTGAGACAGATTCCTAACCAGTTAAAAGACTTTCGACCTGTTAAGAAACAGTCTCAAATTAACCGCCCATTTCAACACACGATGAAGGTTCCTTGTGGTAACCCTCCGTTTGCTTCACCTGGGTCAGTGCGTTCTCGTTCTGGTCCCGGTACAGCGCCCTGGCGTAGACGTAGACCGGCATGGTGTATGGACGTTTAGGCAGCGCGGCCACCCTCAGGGCCTCCTGGACTCGGTTGCGGACGAAGAGCGGGGCCTTGGGGGAGTTCCTCATGGCCTGCCGGAGGTAGACGGAGGGGAAGAGGGCGGTGCTGCGCTCCCACAGCCAAAGCATCTGGTTGTTCTGCTTCTGGGTCTTGGCGGAGCACTTCCCGGTGTAGTCGGGCTTCTCCCAGCCATAGTTGTAGCAGTCGGGGAAGAGGTAGAAGCCCCAGCGGCGACTCGGACGCTCGCCGATGCCGAGGCTGATGGTCTTCTCCATGAAACGCCGCCCGGCGCGTTCAAACTGGATTTTAGCCAGCGCGGAAACTCTCCTGGACGACAAAAACGGGGCCACCTGCATGGCGTGAGTGATGGACAGCTTCTTATAGATCTGTTTCGAAGCCCAGTTCTGTTCCCACAGGGGGCGCCAGGACTCCCAGTCAATGACAGCGAGCCCAGGCAAGGAATCCTGGGAGATGTAGTGGTTGATTTGACTCTGCGCCTTGGCCAGATGCTCGTTAAGGTTTCCATTTTGGGGGACGCCACCTCTATAGATCTTGTGCTTGGCGATGTCGACTTTGGGGTACAAACCGAGGCGGTCCTCATAGAAGATGGTGAGGAACTGGCGGGGCACGGCCGCCGGCGTGGTCACCGCCTGGAAGGCCGAGGTCTCGAGCGGAATGTGGAGCCGGCGGCACTGGTCGACGGGGGCGTTCCAGATGGCCACAAAGGGGTGGTCGTGGATCAGCGGCGGCTCTGCGAGCGGCAGAGCGAGGGCAGCGGCGACCGATCCAATGACACAGAGGGCGAGGCAGCACAAGAAGGACGAAGAGGCCATCGCGGCGGCTATTGACAGATGAAAGATAGGCAACAAAAAAGGTTGAGTCTGAACATGTCGGACTGTTTGATGACTTGTGCTTCAGGTTATAGAAGCCAATGTGGTATCTGCATGTTAATGTCATGCTTTTGTATGTTTATGACATGTTTAAATCTCTGAGCGGTGTATAGACTGTGTTATAATACGGGTTGATGAAATCCAGCATTCTGATTGGTTGAGAGTGAGTCACAGGGTTTGCATTATTGAACAGTTCCTGTTCACATTGACCCGAGTATTTCACTGCGCACCCAAAGTAACCGGTTACATTTTAGCTTTTAGCTCAGTGGCGATCGCCGAAAAAAGAACGGAAATCCCACAAATGATCGGTTTCGGGCAATATGAGCTTTCGCAACCGGACAATTAAGGTGGACCTTATGAGCGATGTGAATGAATGCGATGGTGCGAGATCCCGCATGTACGGGGACTATTTTCCTCTAGACCAGCAGTTCTTTTTCTGTCCGGGCCCACATTGGAGGAAGAAAAAGGTTCAGGCCCCAACAAAAATGTAACAAAATGATGCTGAATTTTTCTTGAAATAACGACATTTTATTCTATTAATAATAGAATAAAGAAAATGTAAGTCACTTTCATGTAAACCAGACTGCTCCATCAGACAAAAACAAATAAAATGCTATCGCTTTGTTGGAACAATGCAAATAAAGTTGTGCAAAAAAATATATTATAAAATAAAAAATATTTATCATTTTACAGTGCGGTTCGATCCGTGTTCACTCCATAGTTTGCATTTCTCAGTATCCTTGAATAAGACACTGAAGCCCCAGTACTTCACAGCAGCACACTGCCCTTTAATTGCTAAGGATGGGTAAAATGCAGAGAATAATTTGGGATTAATGTGGGATTAGTAAAGGATTATAAATAAAATAATAATAATACTTTTTTTTTAATTGAGAAAAAAATAATAATTTACAACTATTTTGTGTTGAAAAGGCAGCTATTTACTTGCTATTTATAATTTCGCTTGTAACCGTATTATAAAAGCAATAAGGTACTTGAGACAGTACTTTATCTTTAATAATGTAACAGTTCGGGCGTGTTGTCTGCACACGCAGGTCTCTCTTATAAATAAAGTAACACAGCTCAAGAAACTTCTTGATTAATAAAGATAATACTTATATTTTGGGATTTAGACTATTCTGACATTAGAAACAATCCAAAGAAAGGAATACAACTTAACATTTCCTAATGAACTGATTCTTTGGAAAATTAAAATTAAATCAATTGAATAGTCGACGGTTGCTACAAAATGAGCTATATATATATATATATATATATATATATATATATATATATACACAAGGTGAATAACACAATGTTGAATAAGCCGTCATGGGTTCCTACCTGCTGCTCTCTTCTAAAGGACGGACGTGTCTGAACTTCGTTACGTGCTTTTGCTGCTTCATGTGACGAAGGAAGCGGTTTCTTTCCTCCGACCGATCGCTATCTGATCGCCGTCTTGACGTCAGCCGTTGGGAGGGTTCAGGGTTCAGCGGGTCGGTGCCTTGCTCCGGAGCAAGCTGACACTATTTGTTGTATTAAACCTGTTTTTATTAGATCAGTGATTTAGAGATGAGAGATCAGTTTAGATTTAGAGACCCGGATATTTCTTTTGATTACATATTCATCAGGAATAACTAATAACTGATAACATTATTGACTGTTGGAACCTTACGTTTGCCTTTTGTTTAACTTCTCTGTTTCTAGACATATTAGTATTATTAGTCATTTTTAGCCTCTTTTCTGGTTAATCACAGTAAAGTCATACTGCTTATTGGTTATTGACTCCACTGATCACTCATTTGGTCACTTTTGATCTGGTGCTTCCCCGGCTGAATCCAGAAAAGCTGGACAACTTTTAATTAAAACCAAATATCCCATTTAAAATGATGAGCATCTACATCTGATTTTTTAAAATACATTTAAAAACACTTCACAAACAAATGATATATGACTTTAGTCTTCAGCAGTTTCTGCATTTTACTTGTTTTCTTCATATGAAACAAAATGTTTTTACCGTGTGGTATTTTTTCTCGAGTCATTATCGTGAGAAACCTCTTCCTCTTTTCAGTGGGCCGTATTTGTGTAAGAACCCGGTTTGATATTTCCTCATTTATTTGTTCGCATGAGAATAAAACTTCTTCACGGTTGAGATATAATAGAATTACTGCAACTCCATAGATTGTATTTTACAAAGAAGAAGTTATCGTGACGGTAAAGAATGAAATGTGCCGCTGATATGTTGCATAAGGGCGAAGTGGTTTTCTAATTATCCATCATCATCTCTTCAAATTCACAGAAAACACATAAAAACACAGACGTACTGAAGAAAAGTCTTTATTTGCAGTGAATTTACATTCATTTGCATGTGTTGCACAGTCCTCGTTTTGCATTTTAGCTTCACAATCTTCAAAAGAAAAACTTCAAACAGGGAAGTGCAGGAAACTGTTATTTCCCGGAAGAGTCGGTTTTGAGATGAACACTCTGGATCGAGGTCGATGCTGAATGTTACAGAAACCCAACTAGCCTGAATAAACACGTGTCGTTAGCAAACAGCATGCCTGATGGTACGTTAACGCCATCGCTCAACTAATGTAAAGTCAACTTTTGGTTACATAAGGGACATGAACAGCGATCTGCTGGATGAGAGTCCCCCTCTCATATTTGACCCACACAAGTCTTATTTGTCTGAAGAATGATCCTCATCTACGGTGAATGTTTGGCAAAGTTTAGGTCAGCAGAAGATCGACGTTGTGGTCAAAGGAACTGTTAATAATCAGTGTGCAATCATCCAACGTCTATCAAACATCAAACATTCAACTTAATTTAACGTAAAACAACTGCTGTGGAACTCATTGCTTTTTAATTTAGCAAAGAATTATAGAAAAGTGCATTTAGAACGTCTGCTCTCATTCAACGTAACTGTTTCCTCCAAACAACATTGGTTTGTCACAAATAAACTTCTAATCAAAATCCACGAAGGGTCTGGGACATGTTTACCTTTCTTTAAGCCAAACACGACCAGTTCTGTTGCATTTTTTGTTCTATTTTCATTTCAAACGTAAACCACGTGTTTTTTTCTAAATGCAAACGATTGTCGTCAAGTATGTTTTTTTAACCTGCATTCAGTCAGCATCGGTCATCTCTCTCTAAGCCTTTGTGCCAGATGATCCTTCTTATGTCAACGAGCCTCCGAGTCACATTCAACTGCTGTTTGCGCGTCTTTTTCGTCCTTTTCAGTGTGCTTGTCGTACCTACGGTCGTGTGCATCAGCGGCAGACACGGAGAACTGTCCGCGGGTTTGATTCATCTGGGCTGACATGCGGTGACGTTCGTATCCTGTGACGTAAAACCAACCTCTACACACATCTATGTAGACAAGGACACAGCTCTTCGCCTTTCTCCTTCTGGCTTCCTTCACAGGGATCATCCTGCAGCGACACCGATCCAAACAGAGAACCCTTTTAGTTCCCTGTGTGTGTGTGTGTGTGTCTGTGTGTGTGTGGTAAAGTGCCATCAAACTTCTCAAAAAGGTTTTTACGTGTGTTACTGACGATCGTTTTTAAAAGCCCCCCCCCCCTCCCCCCAGGTTGTGTTAACGTCTTTTGATCCGCTGAAGTTTCTCTAACCATAACCCCTCAGAACTTGCCAGGATGAGCAGAGATTCATGGTTCTCCAGAGGATGAACCCTTCAAATGGAATGATTGACGGCGGCGTTGGCCTCTCAGTTTTCACACGTGATGCGAGCAGCGGCCTCCTGGGTAAATAGTCTTTCTCTCAAAGACCTTACTTACGGCACTTGTCTTATCTGTGTTGTTGTCCATTGTCGTTTCGCCAAGTCAAATTCCTTGTATGTCTGACACATTTTGGTAATAAATGTTTCCTGATTCCTTAATTCCTGGAATGGCGGCTCTGACCGCTTGGCCGAGGACGGTTTCACAGGTGAGTTGGGAGTGAAAACAAGAGGAAATAAATCACCAGCTGTTGAAACAGCTGTTATGAGCATGTTAGAATCGTTTTGCATTTAAATCACTGAACAAATCTGACAAGACAACCACACCGCCTCAGATCTTCACCTTAACGGGGACACCTTCAGTCAGGGAGGGGTTGAAAGGTAACATCTGTACACAGCTGTCTATCCTTCATCAGAGGGACGCCGTCGACAGGCCCAGCAGGAGCATCAGCAGCGTCACGGGAACGCTGCAGCCGGTCGGCGGCGCCTCGCCCTCCCCCGCCTCCCACCGCTCCCCCTGCTCGTCCTCCCACTCCGTCCTCCGCCTCTCCTGCTCGTCCTCGTCTCCCTCCCCCCCAAGCGGCCCGTCGTCCTCCCTCACTTCGTTGACGCTGTCGCAGCGCTCGCCCTCGTGGCCCTCGTAGCAGTGGCAGCGGAACCTCCGGGCCAGCAGCCGCTGCTCGTGCTCCGAGTGCCACCCGGTGACGGCGAAGTCCTCGTCGCCGGCGGGCCGGATGCGGTAGCTGTCGGCGCTCAGGTGGAGGTAGTGGCGGGAAAGCGGGTCCCGGCGGACGCAGCGGCCGTTGCCCCGGCACAGGAAGTCGCTGCAGAACTCGGCGGCCCGCGTCACGTTGGTGATGTACTGGCCCAGGCGGCGGCTCAGGAAGCCTTTCACCTTGGTGCAGTTGTGCTGCGGAGACAAAACGCCACGCAGTCGGTGATGATGTTTTTTTCAGAAAGGAATAAGTTTCCATATTTGAAAGTCACGAAGGGACGCCGTATATACGTATTTGATGGAGACCTGTCAATCACAGTAGCCCCGCCCTAAAGCATAGAAGTCTTCTCTCTTGATTTATTCCCTCAGTAAACAGTGTAAACATGAGTTTATGGTCTCAATCTCTACTAATAGACCATGAAGCAGGGGATGCGTTAGGGCGGGGCTTACTGGAATTGACAGGTTTCTAAACGAATGCAACGTCTCTATGCCTTTAAATATGTTTTTTAAATATGTCAGTCCACCAATTAATGTAGGCCATTTTGATCAATCCACTTCTAATATTCAGCCTGGTGTGCAAACAACAGCTGATGGAGGGTAAGGTGGAGGTAAGCTGAGGGGACACCCACTCTGGACGAGGTCAGATTCAGGTCGCCCCAGATGACGAAGCCCGCCGCTCCCAGAGCAGCGCTCTCGCCGATGGTGTAGATCAGGTCCTTCTGCAGGAGACACACGGGTACAGACGTCATCTCGCACATGCTTACACTCCACCATTAACCACTGAATTCACCACTTCATCACTGCATTAAGAGGAGCACATGCAAAAATCACAAGCTAATTTGAAAAAAAAATTTAATATACACTCTTATATTAAATCTAAAGACATACATTTTAATAATCTGTTTTGGTAAAGTGATTGATAAAACATACCAATTAATGTGTGTTTTCTGATGAGGCAGAAGAGCTGAGCTATTTCTAAAATCTTTTTATCAGAATGAATAAATCAAACAGCTCTTTATATATATGTTATACCAGTGTGTGACCGGAATCTGCTGACCAGTTAAACCCTCTGAGGTGGTGGTGTTGGTGGAGCATCAGCTCTCCACCAGAGGGCAGTGATGACAAAGAAAAAAATCCATCAGCGACTTTGTCTCTAGAAATCTTGTGCATATCCTTTGATGTGGCAGTTCTACGTTATGAGTACTTTGCATTATTTACAGGGCTACCGGCATTTAATACAACATAAAACAAATAAGAATAATTAAATCAATTAAAGTCATAGCTGTTTTTCTTTATACATCCTCTTTAATGATCAAATTAAATATGAAGTAACTTCATGGGGTATCACATTATTCTTTGTTGTATTGCTATGAGTAATGGACGTCTCCCCAGCACTGTGATACTGTGTATTTGAGTCGTTAACAGAGGTTCAAATGTAAGCTCATTGTTTACAACTGTGTGTATATATGTGTGTCTGTGTGTATATACTGTATCATCTCACCATGGTGAGGAAGGCCATGGCCTCGTCCCGGTAGCCCAGCCTCAGGTACACGTAGGTGGGGAGCTCGTACTCCCTGGAGGTCAGCGAGGCGATGCGGAGCGACTCGCGGATCCGGTGCTGGGAGAAGCGCAGGTTTCCCACGCTGTTGGTGTGAGTCTTCCTGAAGGCCACGGAGGGGAAGAGCGCCGTGCTGCTGTTCCACAGCCAGCGCAGCTCGTCGTTCCTCTGCCCCTCCACCGGGGGGCAGAAGCCTGTGTAGTTCTGCTCGTGCAGTTTGTAGTTGTGGCAGTCCGGGTAGAGGTAGAACCCCCAGAGTGCGTTGGGGCGAAGGCGCGTCCCCAGCTGGATAGTCCTCTGCATGAACGCCTTGGCGCTCTTCTCGAACCGCCGCCGCGCCAGCTCCTCCACCTGCGCTGCCGTCACGTTGACGTAGGCCCTGGCGGTCAGCTCCTTGGACTTGCACCGGTAGATGTCCTTCTTGTCCCAGTTACGGAACCATTGGGGCCGCCAGAACTCCCAGTCGATCACGGCCAGGCCGCGGAAGTCCTCCGAGGGGATGAAGTGGTTGATGTCCTGGTAGGCCTTGAACAGGTGCAGGTCCAGGCTGCTGTTCTGTGGCAGGCCGCCGTGCACGGCGGCGCCCTGCGGCGTGTAGTGCGGGTAGTAGCCCAGCCGGTTGGCGTAGAAGATGGTGACGTTCTGGCCTGTCCAGTTGGCGCGCGGGCTGCCGTGGATGTGGAAGAGGCGGTGGGCGTTGGTGGTGACGTTGTACTTGATGGTGCACATGTCCAGGGGGGCGTTCCAGGCGGCGATGAACGGCTTCCGGCCAATCAGAGGCAGCTTGGCGGGTTTCTGACAAAAGGCGGCGTGGAAGAGCAGGAGCAGCCAGGAGCAGGTGAGGGCGATGGGTACGACGTGGTGGGAGGAAGACGCCTCTGGCACCACATGCATCCTGGGGATCAGGAGGAGCAGCTGTCAATCATCCTGAAGAGAGAAGAAACAGAAGTAATGAATAAGTTGTTTTAAAAAGGGTCCTCATATCCATTGATTGGTGCGCAAGCGGAAAGCTGACAGAAAATGGCATCTTTAAAACCTTGAGATTGATAATTTGGTGCTCGCCATCTTGGCTTTTTGCAACCGGTTAACAGCAAGTGACCATATTGGGAGTGACAAGGACGTAGAGATGCGGTATGTGACTGTCAATCAGCGTTAGGCCCCGCCCTAAAACATCCTCTGCTTTACGGTCTGTTCGACTCTAAATGGACCATAATCTAATAAATGAACATCATGCTTTATTGAAGAAGACTTCAAACTGGAGATTGAGACCATAAACTCACCGTCATTCTGCAGAACTTAAATCCTCTTTTTTGCAGCAACTGTTTTATTAGCCATTTTATTGAAAATTCCCCACTGGATGATTGTTGAATATTCGTTCATGATGAATTGGAATCTTTCATCTAACGTGTACATATTACATCAAAGGATGCAAAATAATACAGATTTTTAGGGCTGGGCTTCCATTCCTTGACGACTCATCCTAAATATTTAACTTCCGACCTTCTACTTTCACAACCTCTGATGAAGAGGCATATTTCCTGATTTTAACACAGCCAGCTCACTACGTCTCAGAGAAACTGCAGCAAAGAAAAGAGCATCACTAAGTTTGACCCAACTGTCTTTTGATCTTCTCTTCCAGTCATCAACTACCGGCTGTTTAGGAATTCCAGTTCACCTTTTTACCTTTTCGTGCGATATTCATGGTGCTCTCGTCCTTCTCTGGGCCCACTGTCGTTGAGATGCCAAACTTTGAATTTCATTTGAAATGGTAATCAAACTGTTTGGTTTTGAGTTGCCTAGTAAGTTGCCTAGTAACGTTTTGAGTTGCCTAGTAAGTCCTCTCAACTCAAAACTGTTGGAGTGAAGATCCTTCTGACGACTTCCTCAGTTCAGTCTGAGCCGACGCTGGTTTGCACTCTTCAGTTCGGCATCACTTCGTGAAACGTATTATAAAGTTTATCTGAGTTATGTTGGTTTGGAATCAAAGTCCTTTTCTCTTTTTTGTTCTGTGTTTCTGCCACTTTTCTTCCCTGCGGGGATGGATGGGGATGGAAAAAATATGCCTGGCCGCTCACAAGGGAAGCTGATGGATTCTCAAAGCTCGTAGCAGCGAGTTTGAAGATGTGGACGAGGTCTCTCAGTTTGAGCTGAAACCATTTTCAAAGCTTCAGAGGGTTCCGCTTTTTGATGGTTTTCTATTGGAGTTGGTTGAGTGACATCACGCTGGGAGAGAATTCTATTAATCTTCCACCACGGGGCTGCAGTAAATTCTTTTATTCATTTTCTCTATTAATCGTTTTGATTAATGGTTCAATTTGCCGCTGCCCAAACTGACGTTTACAAATGTATTCATTTATTTTCAGAAAGTTAAAATACAAAAAAGGACAGAGACTTTGAATCCATCGTCAACTCAATTCAAGGAAAAATAGTTGGTGAGCAAGAATGATAATAATGATAATACAAAATAAAGGGTTGGCGGTTCGAACCCCGGCTGCTCCGTATCCCATGTTGAAGTATCCCTGAGCAAAGGAGACTTTAACACCTGTGACTCTACTGTGGGGCTCGTTGCTCGACCCCCACAGCCTCTGAGGAGCTCCCTCCAGAACCCTCCAGGCCAAAGAAGGTTCTTTGAGTCCAGCAGCGAGTGGAGCCAAAGGTCTTCAAAAAGGACAGAAAGATGAGCGCAACCAGAGACGCCAGGAGAGGGAGGAGCCTGTCCTCGAGCTTGATGATTGGGAGTCGAGCCGAATACCCCCCCCCTCCCCATGATGGGGCCAAAAATAACAGATTCCCTCACATGCGCCATCTGTCCTGTAGATATGCTCCACCACCAAGTGGCATCACTACTCGGCCCATTCTTTGGACATTCCACCTGCATCATTTTGTTAAAGCGCTTTCACTTCCATGGATAAAAGTGAAAAAACTTCCAATGCTGCCGCTGATTATTTACTGTATTGGTTCATATTTGATTTCTTTAGTCACTAAGAGATCACGTCCAAGCCACGATGACCACGTCCACTTCTCATATTCAGTCAGTGTTCGGCACCCAAACGTCTTCATTGCAGTTAGTAAAGACTGTTTGAAACCTTTTACCTCTTTCACACCTTTTCCACCCGGCTGAGCCAAAAGCGCCTCGTGGGTCATTGCATACGACAACATACAAATTATATTATCAAGTGATGAGAAAACATCTGTATGAAGACATCAGCGTAATACAAACACAGTTCAATAAGACGGTATAATAAACAATATAGAAGGAATGAGACAGCCTAGTATGTGATTTAAATGGACGGTCTGAGGGGTGAGTGAGAAGAACTTGATGGACCATTTTCTAATTGTTTTCTCTGCTGAGTTTATAAATTAACAACAGGTCATTTTTTAATTTTTATCTTTAAAGCAGGTGGAAAACAAATGTTTCAAATCAGTACATCTCAGGCTGCTGCTAATATTCCTTTAGCCACAACATCATAGTTGGTCCGATGAACTGCTGCTTGCCTGCAGAACTCCGTCCTGAAATCATGCTGGCTCGTTAAGACGCCTGAAAAACGACTTGTTTCCCTAAAGTTATTTTTTATTTATAGCAGCCTGTGATGAACTTCAGTCGAGTTGCTTTCACTGGAATTCCTATTCTGCTGTATGTTTGTTTGTTTGTTTGCCTTTATGAGTCAGAGCGTCTCCCAAATGGGTGAAATGACTTTTAATGTGACCGACACGGCTTCAAAAAGGGCTGGTTTCTACCTCAGAAACTTTGTCTGCTGCCAGAGCATTGTTAGGGGTGAGCCAACATTCCTGGCATGGCATGGCATGGTGCCCCCCCCCCCACCCCCCTTCCTGTATCACCCAAAAACAGACGCTGAAACCACGCTGTAGCATCCAGAGCTTCCCGCCTCCCTCCTGGTTTAAAAATACGCTTTACTGCAAAATCAAAAAGCCGCAGCTCTGGCTGCTCACCTGTAGATGTATAATTAGCAGTCCATTGGAGAGGGGGGTGGGGGTCTCTGCTCCGGGGTCACCGCGGGGGTCATGGTGGCCCACTGCGCCGTACGTGGTCTGACCAGTCGCCTTGGTTCCTGGTGAGGAGTCTGAAACACAAGCCAGCCATCAACCCTTATATACGGGAAGGAGAGGGAGAGGGAGGGAGCGAGAGAGGGGGGAGAAACGGATAGAGAGAGAGAGAGAGAGAGAGAGAGCTTGTAATTCGCTGAGCTCCTCTGAGGTCTTATCCTCTCTGTAAGGAAAGAGTCTCAGCTCGTCCACTTCAATCAGCATCAGAGGAAAGGCAGACGTAAACACACTGATGACGACAACAATCGTGTGTGTGTGTGTGTGTATTGGTTCCCATTTAATGCAATTTCACTCCACATTAAATCAAGTCGGACACGTACATTTCTTTACTCTTTTTTTTTATTTCTGACAGCTTTAGTCATTTTACATCATTGTTGAAAAACAAATATATAGAAATCACTAAATACGTAACACTAGATTATTATTGTAATTATAATACGGGTAGATGAAACGCTGCGAGTCGGGCCTAACAAGACCCTCGAACTGCTACATTATTGAAGATGAAGTGCAGCCTCTCCTACCTTATTGCTTAATTAGGCTACACAGCAGTCGAGGAGTCAGAGCTTCATCTCTTAAAGCTGCATTCTCTGTAGTGACCAGCAGGGGGCGACTCCTCTGGTCCCATAGACGTCTATGAGAAAGTGACTCCTCTCTTGATTTATTCCCTCAGTAAACATTGTAAACATGAGTTTATGGTCTTTGATTAGATAACATGGCTTTTAAACATTTTGTTATTTTTCAATACCAGACTTTTTAAAGTTTCTTTTTGGAATTTCACAATTTTTATTATTTATTAATTTAAATGTATATTTCATTAACTTTTGTGTTCTGTTCTTGCTGAAAATGTCCAGTTCCTGTTTCTATTCATTCTGCTGAACAATTTGAGCAGATATATAGTTTGCTACAAACAAACAGTTCAATTTGTGAATCCACAGAAAAACTCCCAGAGACACCAGTCTCGACTTCACTCGTCCTGCTGCCAGAACAAACATGCATCCATTTAACGGGTTCTTCATCTCCATGAGAGCGTCTGAGTGAAGGACCGATTTAGACGCAGAAGACAAAAGTCTCTGTTAAATATACACACAGAGTCCCCCCCCCAGCCACCCCCCCCCCCCAGTGAACACAGTTTGTGTTCTTTTAATTGTACGCGATCATGTTAGAGCATACTATTATGGGGGAAACCTGATTCTAGGTCTTACTTATAATTAAAGTATTAACATCTTAGATGTGTGTTTATTCATTGTGCGCTTGGAACATGAGAGAGAAGCTTCTGGTGAGATTGGATGAGTTTTGACTTCTGCCTACTCTCGTCCCTCTGTTTCCCTCATTTCTATTCAAGTTCAGAGTAACTAAAGGCACTAAACTAAAAGTTGTCTTATGCAGCCTTTAATGTTTGTAATTGAATTCTTAGAGGCAGTCATAAAGATGAGACCACACAGTGATGCTACCTTCCTACGGAGGTCATTTTATTTTTATTTTGCCTTCAATGTTCGGTTTTATTATCCCCATGCAACACAGGATTGCACGATGTAGTGCAGGTGACTCTAAATGCTGCATACACGAGAAGGTATAGAAATAATATATTTTAACGTGAATAGAATAAAGCATAGTACAATTCAAATTGCAGTAAAGGAGGGAATAGAAGAGGAACATTTAATTAGGTTGATTTCGCTGTCACCGTCTTGGAATCCAGTTTTCACCATTTCATGTTACTTACTGCAACCAGTTAGCAAGACGCTACTATTAAGCCGAGCGTTGTATACGCCTCTGGGAGAGACCTGTCAATCAGCGTGTAGCCCCGACCTAAATCATCACCTGCTTTATGATTCTACTTCTCGCTTGATTCATTCCCTCAGTAAACATTGCAAACGTGAGTTTATGGTCTCAATCTCTAGTTTCAAGTCTTCTTCAATACAGCGTGATGTTTATTTAGTAGATTATGGTCCATTTAGAGTCAAACAGACCATAAAGCAGGGGACGCTTTAGGGCGGGGCTACGTGCTGATTGACAGGTCTCTCAAGTCACTCCTTGTCGGTCCAAATATGGTCACTTCCTTTCATCAACTGACACAATCAACATGGCGATGGTTGTAATCCAAGATGGTGACTGCACAAACATAAAACATCGGTCCATGGAGTTTACTTTACCAGTTTATTTGCACAATTTAATGATAATAAACGAAGATAAAATAAATCCACATCCATATCACAAAGAAAAACACATGCAGAGCAACAGCTACAGCCTTTAGAGGCTTTACAATCTGCGCACCACACGAGACCTTCCCTCCTCTGACCCTGGATCCGGTCAAGGGAAAGCTCCCTCCCGCCAAAACCACACCACCACCACCCACCCTTCATGCAAGTCCCCACGACAACAACTCATGAAAACACCGACAAGTGCTGTTCAACTGTTGAAATAAATGGAAAGTCATAAAAAAAACACTGTGTGTGTGTGTGTGTGTGTGTGTGTGTGTGTGTGTGTGTGTGTGTGTAAAAAGCCACATTCCCACAGTGGGTGGGGGTGTATTTGGAATCCTCTGGCCTAGCATTGAGATCCTGACTGCAGATCCGTTTCCACTACCTCCCTGGATGAAAGTGCCCCCACCCCCCACTCCTTCCTGCATGGAAACCTCAGCGTCTCGATCAGAGCCTCCTTGCCAACATACGGAGTGTGTTATGAAAAATGTCTGCACGGACCTTCCTGCCGCCTTAACTTAATGAGGCATTGAGTTGCCTGGTGAAGGAAGTAATGGTTCGGAGGGGGGGGGGGGTTCAGCTCTTGTTCTTTAAACGCTGTATAATACAGATTGTTTTCAGGAGCAATATAGCAGATTTCACTCCAAGTTCAATTTCTAAATAAATTACATTTTTTGTTAGTGGGCGAAGCCTGTAAACAGGACTCTGTGATTGCTGCAGATGGATTAAGTGGCCTTTGTTGTGGTTGATATTCAACCATGTGATCAGGTTAGCTGGTCAGGTTAAAATATATCTCATCTGCAGAGACGTAACACAGAGAGTAAAAAAAGCAGAATCCTCATTTCCTGTTTAAAACAACACCATCATACCTCTGATCTCTTCATCAGACCATCACACTGTAGGAAATGTCCGTAATTGTCTGTGTCTCCGACCTTTGGCCTCCAGGGAACAAGCGCTCAGCCTCCTGTCTGCAGATGGTATGTTAAACAATGATGCGGTTTCTCTCTCAGCCTTCGTCCTTCAGACTGTGTGTGTTGTTGTTGTTGTTGCCGTGTGGCCAGTTTTTCTCCAGGACTCTGCGTTATTGTTTCTTGCTTCTGCCATCTTTGCCCATCGACCTAACTCTGCATTTCATGGCCCTCGCGGAGCTTCAGAGGAGTCGCGCTGATGTGGCGTCGGCCTCTGAGGGGTCGACTGGATTTACAGCCTGCTGCCAGCCCGTGTTTTCACTGGAGGAGATGAATTCTCTCTCTCTCTTCTTTTGAATTATCCGCAATACACGTTACGAAAAGGCCTCATGGAGATTTGATCATGACTGATGCTCATTTTATAAACTCTTCCACGGGAATGAATGATATCGACTTTCTCTTTGAATGTTAACGTATTGCTGCTGTCCCGGCTTGGATGAATCTTATTTTTTTCCCACCTTTTCTTATCTCTTTTACACTGAGGATACAAGCAGTTCTATAGATGTGCCAGTCCACCGCCACTATGGCTACTACTACTAGTATACCACACCACTAAAACCAGGGTCAGACTACAGGTTTTGGGGTAAGATCAGTCTTTGCTTACAGAGAGCAGGAAATGACCTTCAGAAAGTTCCTAATTTGGAGGTGACACATCGTCTCCTTCTGGATCATCTGTCGTCAGAGTTTAGACCTTGTTAATTGTTTGTGTACCACTGTGGTAAATGTTTATCTGCCGTCCTCCTCCCGGCCTGTAATCAAGCAGCAGCAGATGAAGCTGATGGAGAGGCAACAGAGAGGTGATGATCAGCTGATAAACAGCCAATGAGAGCCGCGGGTCGGAGCCGGGCTAGAAGTCGTGGGATTTGTTGAGAAATGGAACAATACAAACATCAGGGAAAATAATGCCAGACTTAACAGACTACAATATGCAAAACGTTTTTTTAATTTTATGTCTACATTTTCTAGAACGAGACAAAGATAATATTTGATTCAGGAATTCATTGTCTACAGAAGATGGATCTTAATGACTCTGTTGATCCCCTGACTTTTCATGGAAAAAGAAAGTAATTTGAAGTTAGTTGAAGTAAGTTGAAACAAGTGATAGGTGGGAAAAAAGTCAAAATCCTTAATGTCAGAAAGAGGCAGTGGAAAAAAGTTAAAAGAATATTAGGTTAAAAAATCTTTTGAAACAGTCTGTAAATTTCAGGTCAAAAAATGTATCGAAAAAAAAGAAATATGTTAAATCGATTATGAAAAAAAATAATCCAAGGTGGAACATTTAAAAAAAAAAAAAAGCTTTAAAACGCAGTTCAAATATGTCATGTCAAAAAATGTCATCAAAAAGTAAGTAACAAAAATATTATTCTGTATAATGTTCTAATAAAAAATCATCAATATCATTTTTTTTGAAGTGAAGAAAATAAAAGTTTAAATATATTGCGTTGTTTCATGTTCTGGGAAAATAATCCAAAAAGATTTAGGTCGAAAAATATTATGAAAAAAAATGTTAGGTTGAAAAAAGTTTTGAAAAATAAGTGAAAATACAAAAAAGGCAGTCGAAAAAGGTAAAATAAAATCAGGTAGTAAAATGTAAGGGTATAAAGTAAAAACATTCAAGAATGTTATTAAATTTTGATTATTTGTCAAGCAAATTCAAACTATGATTAGTTGAACCTCTTTGGCTGCTGGATTCAGTTGCTTCTTTAGAGAGAAACAGAGAGACTCGTCTGGACTGCAGCTCTGCTTCACTCACACTTCACTTGACCTTCAATGCGACCTGCTCCTCTCAGGGAGGGAGGGTGAAGGAAGTACTCACATCCTTCACTGAAGAACTTGTATCACACGGTTAAAGTATTTCACCACAACTTAAAGTCCTGCAGTTAAAATGTACTTTTTATCTGATGTTTCCGGATCAATATTCCTGCTGCATTAATGTGTATTTTTTTATTTCAACTCCTTTAAACATTGTTCATAAATACTTCATCTGGGTTACGCTGCGTTCTTTGTGCTGGATGAGAGCGACCCGTGCGGCTGGCTAACCACACGCTGACCTCAACATCTTTATTAACATTGTCACAAACAACATGCAGCTCTGCAATCCTTCCCCAGCAGCAGATTAGCATGAAACTCTCACGCTACAGTTAGTGAAGACCTTCATTTCAAAGCAGCTGACTTCAGCACATTCTGTAATCCTCAGTTTACAGCTTCGTCCTCTTCTTGAATCACAAGCCTCGAGCCGCAGCAGCAGCTTCGCCAAACATTTGTTTGGCGCTCGGCCATCTCTCCCCTTTTCTGTGGGAGGAACAGAGACTATTGTTAAGCCGTCTTGGTCATGTGACCCAGCCTACCAGCTCGCTGTAAGTCAAGGTTTTTTATTTGTCATTTGTGCATAGACCAACAGTCCAGACACATTGGGATTCTTGTGCAGGGCTCTCTCACAGTCGACAGTTTAACAAATAAAGACACAATAAGAAAAATATAACACTATTCATAAAGTGGTAATATGTAAAGAAAGGTGCTAATATGTACTCATCTGACTGGCCTGATGCTGAGATGCCGAGCTCAGCTGGACTTTTCTGAGGATCTTGTGGAAGTGTAATGTTTATTTTCTCTGGCTGCCGGAAAAAGTTAACCCCAGATCACTTTCTCTCCCTCTAGTTATCCGTAAGTTGGTAAGTCCAATAACGTTGTTTTTGGACTGTGGAGAAAGCTGGAGGACCCATGGAAGCCCCACGCTGACATGAGTTAAGTTGTATTTAAACATATAAGAGCACATTTCTTTCTGTTATTTAAGCTGCAAACTCACACGCACATTATGAGGTGTAATTGATGGGTTTCCATGCACGGTAAACAGCTGTCTGCTTTGTTGTTGAATGACTGTACTGCTTCTGTTGTTGTTGTTGTGGTATCCATAGAAATGAGAGTAGCTGGATGATGTGCACGAACCTGCAAAACACGTAAGTGGCAGAAAAGAAATGTTTGGTTGGTTCACTGGTTTCTTTTTTTGAGCTTGAAATCAGGACATTGTAGAAAAATCTAGCTGCAAACATTAAACTTAAAGCTTTTAATTCATTTGTATGTATTTTGTCTTGTGCATTGATCTCAAATTGGTACATTTGATTTATTTGTATTTTTGGCTTTATAGTCCATACTCTTGTTTTCTTTCCGGCTTGTTGTTTCATCTGTGAAGCAGTAACTTGTTTGAAAGGTGCTACACTTAAAAAGTTTAAATGCATTTATTGATTTCAAAACAGACATTGGTACTCAGTACTCATGGTATACTCTTAATGAAAGAGTCATTTCCACTGAGACAATCCATTCCACATCGTTTCCTGCAGCTGATCTCAGGTCAGGTTTGGCTAACATGCTAAAGCCTTATCATCTACAGTATCAGACACTTGATAATCAGACAGAGTCCCAGGACATGACGATGCAGAGACAGGATAAATGGAGGGACAGGAGGAGCAGGGTATCTCCCAGCAGGCTGTTCTCCAAGGGCGGAGGCAGGGGGGAGGCAGGCTGAGGCGGCGCCAAAGGAGGAGGAGGAGCCTGGGGCATCTCACAGTAAACGCCAGTCCAGCCCTGGTAGCACTGGCAGGTGAACTTGTGCTTCATGTCCAGGATGTCGTGGTTGTTGAGGTGCCCGCTGACTTGGAAGCGGGGGCCTCTGGGCGCCGGGTTGCGGTGGATGTGGAAGTAGCGCGGGTTCAGGTGCAGGTAAGCGCCGGAGTCCAGGCTCTTGCGGACGCACCTGCCATTCTTCTTGCAAAGCGCTTTGCTGCACAGCTTGGCGGCGGAGGTGACGTTGATGACGTAATGTCCCAGCGGGCCATCGATGTACTTCTTCACCGTCAGGCAGTTGCTCTGCAGGAAGCAGGAGACCGATGTGAAGCAAACAAGGACCCATAAACGCTTAAAACATGCAAAAAGGCAACGTATCGTAAAACAACTGTTTTGTTTGATTGATGATTTACATGTCTATACTTGTCACATGACCAGACAGGTTTTCACAGGAAAAAACACCAAATACCAAATTTGGTTGAAGATAGTAGAAGATAGAAAATAAGTTGTCTGGGTCAAAACAGTTACATGAGAAATACTTCATACTTCTCATTTCACATGTGGAATGAACTGTGGCCTCCTGGACGACACCGTCCATGTGGGACACATTCCACTCCACTCTCTTTATACTTCCTGGTTTTCCCTAATGCTTTGTGGCTTCTTTTATGTAATGAATTTAATGATGTAGCGGTAAAGCTATGTAATTCTATGCATTCAGTTACTTTGATCTGATTTCAAGCTTTTGCATTTGAATTTAGTATTGAAACTCATTTTAAAACATGTGTAGTTTAAATAAGCTCCACGTTTTGACAGCCACTTTTATCACTTCTAACTCGTCATTTTGAACAATTACTCTTTTCCTTATGGTTAACTCTTACCTGTGATCGTGCGTACTCTGAGGATCCCCAGAGGACGACGCCTGACACTCCCAACACGGCGCTCTCCCCAATGGTGTGAACCAGATCGCTCTAAGAAAGAACAGAATAACATCTGAACCTGACTCAAACTGCCTTTTATGGAACATAAAACAATCCATAGTCCACAAACAGCCTGAGTGCTATGGGAAGACATCTTTAAGGTACATAGCTACACTGACGTTGCCGTAAATGGAACAATGTCAACAATCGACCAACAAGACAGAAAACATCACCTCGGAGAGAACAACAAAGGTGTAGGCGTAGAAAGGTCTGGAGTAGACAAACACTGGAAGTGTGAAGTCTGTTCGGGCAATGGACGCAATCCTCATGGCTTCTTTGACCCGGTAGTGGACAAACTTTACAGTGTTGGAGGAGGACCTGAGCTCGTGGTCCAGGTAGATGGACGGGAAGAGAGCCGTGCTCTCCTTCCAAAGCCACATCAGGTGGTCGTTGCGCACATGCTCAACGTTGGGGCATTCGCCCGTGTACCGCTGCGGGTGCTGCTTGTATCCGTAGTTATAGCAGTCCGGGAACAGGTAAAACCCCCACAACCCGTCCGGCCTGCGACCTTCAGCCAGGGCCAAGGTCAGGTTCATGAAGGTCTGCCCAGCCCTCTCAAAACCTTCCTTCGCCTCCTTCTCCACTTTGCTCTCTGGCCAGTTGGGGTGAAGTTTCCGGATCTGTTCCTTGGACTTATTGCGGTAAATGTCCTTTGCGCCCCAGTTTCTCACCCACTGTGGCCTCCAGTTCTCCCAGTCAATGACCGCCAAGCCTCGGAAATCCTTGTGGGGGATTAGTTTGTCGATGTCTGCCCGGGCCTTGCTCAGATGTTTGGAGATGCTCTGGTTCTGCGGCAGTCCACCGTTGATGGGGATCCCGGAGTTGGAGTAGTACGGGTAGTACCCCAAGTGTCCGTGGTAGAATATGGTGACATTCGGTCCGCTCAGGGTTTCGTTGAGGTTTGCTACGATGTCAAAAACGCTAAGGTCCAAGTCCACCTTGAATCGAAGGCGGCAGGACTCCGTTGGAGCATTCCAGATGACAACAAAAGGCCGGTGGGGGATCAGAGGCGCCCGGGACGGCTTCATCTGGTTGCCCAGAACTTGGAGTTCTTCTCCAATGCCAACCCACAAGGCCAGCGCCAGGAGACGGACCCCCATCAGCTCCATGGCACCTGATTCCTCATGGAACAATTGGCGGTCCTACGGAAAAAAGGAGAGGATCGTCATGTTTGGAGAGGAAATAAACATTTCAGGCTTCAGTGAGCAGAGATAATCAGCCAGTCCTTCGAGAGGACACGTGAGTGATGATCAGTGAAGTGAATGCTCCAAATTCCACCACACAACAAAACACAAAAGCTCCCCTGTTCCCAGAGGGAGCAGGACTGTGATGAAAGGGATGCTGGTTGAAATCCCCAAACAGCAAATGTGTGTAGATCGGGAAAGCAGTAAGGAGAGGTTTTTAAAAAATAATGCTGCTTTGGGGACCAACCCACCATAGCTTAGAGAGAAATGCGGAGTGGAGGATTTTTTCTTTTTGATTACTTTGAAATTAAAAATACAGTACATCTCCAATGGACATAAGACAACTTTAACTTCTCCCAACGACTACACTCAGATGGAATTGTTGAAAGATTGCATTCTTTTAAAAGTCAAATGTAACAATTTTCAATTACAATTCAATTCAATTCATTTTATTTTGTATAGCCCAAAATCGCAAATTACAAATTTGCCTCAGAGGGCTTTACAGTCTGTACACATACAATATCCTCTGTCCTGAAACCCACCATCGACAATTTTAGGCATTTATGATTCTTATTTCTCGATTAGTTTTATTTTTATTCAGGAAATACAAAGCTTAATGACCCATACTGTTTACACATTGAGACAATCATGGCGAGTATTTTTGTGGCTATGCCTTTATTTTCTTTTTGTCGTTCCTCTGAAGCTGCTCCTTCCGTCTCTCCCTCCCCCATCTAATTGCTGATGGCGCCTCCTCATATGCAAGTAATTCATATTTCAGTTTTTCCAAAGTCTTTTTTCCAAAGTCAGGGTCGGGGGGGGGTTGGAGACATTGTGACCCCACTCTTGGGAAACATGGCCATTGCGGTTGCCTCCAAGGACGCCACGGAAAATCTCCCATCATTCCCTTTGTAACCACAGCAGCAGAGCAGGAAACCACCGGTGGGCTGAGGCTCCTCCGATCATTTCCAATTTTCCTTCATCTGAGGAGGCGCTGGCCGCCGTTCTCTTAACAGCCCGAGAACTTTACAATCGCATTCATCTTGGATGTGGATCAGTGAGCTCAACAACGGCGAGAAGATGTAGGAGAGACTTTCACAGATGAATTGTCAGAATGTTTCCCTTAGGAAACATTTTAAGACGGGTGTAATTCATCAGAAAGTCCTCAGCTTGGGAAAGCATTTCACCGGGCTGTGTGTCTCCGAGTTGAACGGGTCTTCGGATGATTGCCCATCCAAGACAAACAGAGTGCAGATGAGGCCACAGGCGGTCCCCCAAACCACAAAAGCCTGGAAAGAAGAAAGCTACTCCAGACCGCAAGGAAGAACCCCCAGAACGCAGAGGCCAAACCGCCACAGCCAATGGGATCCAGATGACGACGAGGGGGCAAACTGTCAGTGGGATCCGACTCTCGCGATCGTTGACCACGACACCGGCGCGGCGAAGGCCATCCGCCGGTCCTCCCCTCGGGCGCAGACTGGAATCAGGACTAGCGGATGGACGGTCGTGTAAACTAAATATTTAGCATGGTGTTGACTTTGCTTCCAGCACCAACATATGGGCCACATTTTTAATTTGCTCAAAATCTACGGCACATCATCAAAATACTTGTGGAACTGATGGCGTTCCAATCGGCCCCAGATGTAGCTCATGTAACCATGGCGACCATGCTGAGCACCATATCCACTAAGCACCCCCCCTGTTGTCATGGCAAGAATTTTAGCGTGACTTTTGAAGTAAAGTACGTCCTCAAAGCAGCCTGACCACACGTAAAACAAGTAAAATGACCACAACAGTGGTGACGTGTGATGCGTCGGCACCACAGAGACAATGCAGATGGAAGCAAATGCTTTGATTAAATTTGAACAATCCTCTGAACCCCCCCCCCCCCCCCACATGTTGTCTCTGGATCTGAGTGTGTTTGATTCTAAACCAGCTAGTAATGCGTGTGGAAAATATGAAGCCAGCCGTGAATTATAGCATTTAATGAACCAGCGTTAACGACTAACAACCAGACACAGAGTTATTCAGCAACACCACACCTCATGGCGTGTGTGTGTGTGTGTGTGTGGTAATGATGGGATTTAAAACCACAAAAAGTCTGACTCAGACTGCTGATTCAACTCCCAACGTGAACATGTTTTCATTATGTTTGTGTGGGGTTACAAATGTGTGTGTGCGTGTGTGAAACAAACACACGTTGAACTATAGTTCATGAGAAGCTTCTATAACTCTCTCACGGATCACATCTGGGTCTCTTCCAGGTTTCCGTGGAGTCTTGATTATGTTCACGTGTGGTTTTCAGAAAGCCACGCGATGCTGCACTTTCCAGATGTGACATTATAGTTTTATTAACACCAGCGCCGCTGCAGAAAGGACGAACTTTAGTCGATTAGTCCCCAAGCCAAGTCAAACCTTCTGTTTCTCTAATTATTGAATTATTCCGCCCTTTTGGAACTCACCTGTCTCAAACGTTGCTGTTCCGTTGGTCAGTCTTTACGCATGTCATCATTTCACTTCATTCAGCTTTGTCTTATGTCACAGTCTGGTTCTGATCAGTGTCTCTGCAGGGTCAAACATACCAAAGACTTTCACCTAGGTGACCCCCCCCATGGTGTCCCGGGTGAAAACAAACGCTCATGTTGACTTTACTTTCACAATGTCAGGTGAGTGTGGATATGTATTCAGACTTTTTATGTTGTTGTGTTATGCAACATTATAACTTTCCTAATTGGAGAATAAACCAGATCTTTGTTGAAACAATAAACAGTTTAGTTTCCTGAACAATCTTTTTACAACGTTTACCACGTTGCGTTTTTACAAGCCCGATACGAAGCTGATATGAAACATATTTAGAAATATGTGTTTTGGTCCAGAGACGTCAACATTCAACATCTTCTGTGGTTCACACAAACACACAACACCAACAATGTGTACAATCAGTGCACACATTTTGTACATTTTTACAACGTGATTCACTGGGCTCTAATAATAAGCAGATCCAATCATTTTACTTTTAATGACATTTTTTACATTCATGACTATGTGTTATAATATACAGGTTAATTCATTCTCCTCCGTTTTACATGAGGAATGCTGCTCCTTTATTTACAAATCTTCTGCTTTGGATTAATAACATTATCACATAGTTAATGTTCTCTTTTCGGTGCTTAATTGAGGCCATTGTTGAGAGTTCTCATCTCATTTGTGTTGGTGTTAACTTGCTTTTTCTCATGATCCTGATAACTGTCCCCAGATAGATCTGCCTCTAATGAATACAAACAGACTCCTTAAGAGAAAAGGAGCGTGATTTAATGACCCCAGGATGACGTACCTTCCCGTTGCTGCCGGCTGTGCGGAGGATCAAGGCCTCCGGCTGGCTGGTTTCCTTGTTTCTTGTGATGTGAACCTCAGATAAAGAAGATGTCCATCTGACGAGCTGCTGGACTGCCTCTGCCCCCGTGTCAACCCTCCGATACGGGCGCACAGATGACCCACTATTGTTGGTTTGGCCCCTCCTCATCCCTCCCCAACAGGACTCTCACTAACTAGACCCAACAGCAGAAGACATTCTGGAGGCCAAATTGCTCATTGTAGGGTCTACTGGGAACTACACCAGGGTGTAATGTAGAAATGTTTTTAAAGCAGGAAAATCTTCCAGGAAAAGGCAGACTAATATAAATGCTCAATTGTTGTAGACACACTTAACACCACAGAGTAGTCAAGTGCATATGCTGTGTTGAGTTTAGGTCTATGAATAGGGTTATTCTGCAGCCACAAGGCTGTTCTTAGCTACAGTGATGGAGAACTTACTGCTCCTCTCAATGACAGATTATAGCTGCATTCTCTGTAGTGACCAGCAGAGGGCAACTCCTCTGGTCCTACATCCCCAGAATGCATTTTCCATTCAAACTACATTTGATTTCTTATGTTTAATGGCTTAGTTGAGTGTGTTAGCATGCAAACGTTTAAGGGAAATGGTTGAGAAATCTTACCCAGAACCATTGATGTAGATGTGTCAGAGGTGTCACCAAAGTCATGATTAATTCTATGGGATCTACGAAAACATTTGGCCAATTTTGGGACTCACCAAAAATAGGCCCTCAACATCTATTTTTCCATAATTGATTCGCATTTATTGATCAAAATTATATTAAGCTCAAGCACATTGCCAGGATAAATAAATGTACATTTACTGCCAGGAACTGTGAAGAACTTGATTCCTCAAGGAGCCTCCAGAGGACATGGCGGCGTCAGTGACTTCAGTAGCGGCTGCTGCTTCCTGACACCGCAGTGACCCGGGAAAGGTGTTGTGCTCCACCCGTCGTTCTCCTTCCAGCTGAGATAACATTATTATTATTACCCTGAATGTCCGTACAGCACTTTCTCTGCATCAGCATGGCAGGAACCTCCACAATCATCAGTTTACAGCTGCACAAACGCGGACGGACTTGACACCAACGTTGACTTTACCACCTGAACCCGAGGAAACCTGAGGCTGCAGAATGAAAGGCTTTGACACGATCAGACGTTTGGATATTATCTGCTCTCAAGGCAGACTCAGCCGTCTCTCCTTTAACTGCCCAAGAGAAAAACGTCACAAATGCCAGAAAATGTCGCTTTTAATTGAGACGAATCTGCACAAGTAAGTTATTGCACATGATGTTAGGTTCCGTATGTGAACAAAGCGTAATTAGCGTGGAATATTGTAATTTTGATGAAACACTTTGCTTCCTTGAAGACTGGTGGCTAGGTTTCCAGTGAGATTGAGACCATGAACTCATGTTCACAATGTTTACTGAGGGAATAAACCAAGAGAAAAGTAGAGTCATTTTCTCACAGACTTCTATAGGACCAGAGGAGTCGCCCCCTGAACTGAAATCTACTGCCTGAGGACAGCAGTAGATTTCAGTTCAGGGAATGTCTTCCAGACATGGGGACGGGAGGTGCAGAAATGCTGACTCATTTCCAGGGTTTTAGGACTTTATGTGAAGCAGCTCCTCTCAGCTGCAGAGATACTGTAAATGCTGAGCAGAGCGGCTGGACGTTACTGGAGGACGAATATCTTCATCAGTCCAAAGTGTCCACTGTGAATCAGCGAGCGAGCCACTCAGACCCCACCGCTGGAGAACGGCACAAAGAGAAACGCGCTAAACAAGCCTGAAATAAAACAGACTAATGGAAGATTTGTATGTATCGATCTGTCCTATATATGCTGCCTCCCGAGGTGTGTTGGCCTGATTTTTTATTTTATGCTCCAAATTAAAATGACTCAGCAAACAACATCTCAACATTTATGTTGTACATTGATGATCCTTGAATGGTGCATCTGCAGGAGACAAACACACGTTTGAGAGCAGAAGTCCAGCCGTGGTAAAACAAGACCAGATATCGTTTGATTATGGGGACAATGGGGCACATTTTCACTCCCTGGAGGACACTCGGCATGTGATTTGTATTCAGAGAGTGACAACAAGTCGCCGTCATCTGCCCCGCTTATCGGCCAATCACTGAGCTCTGTGGTTGGATGCATGTGGACAGGAAACCACACAGACAGACAAGCGTTGATTACATTTCATACAGACTGAGAGCAGAGAGAATTCTGGGAAGAGCGCATCCTTAGAGACACTCTCCACCCTTGTTTGAACTGTTTTCTTTTGCTTACCTCATTCATGAAGTCAATCCTTTGTCACGGAAAGTCAAGATAAATGCAAATTTTCCTGCAAAAATGTTTTTTTTTATAAACATCGAATTCATGCTTATGTATATTGTGTATATATTTATTATTCCATCAGACTATTGTGTAAAAAAACTCCAAAATACACAGGGGGGGCTGGAGTCTATCCCAGCCAACTTGGGGCGAGAGATGGGGTTCACCCTGGACTGGTCGCCAGCCAATCACAGGGCTACACAGAGACAACCAACCATTCACACTCACACTCCTACAGGCAATTTAGAGTCCCCAATCAACCTGATCCCCAGAGCATGTCTTTGGACTGTGGGAGGAAGCCGGAGAACCCGGAGAGAAGCCACGCAGACACGGGAAGAACATGCAATGTTGGGAGAGACTACAAGGCAGTTCCTTCCAGTCACTCAAGCATAACGTTTCTGACTTACAACAACTATAACATATCACAGAAATAGTTTTTTTCCCAGAGGTTTGGGGTTGGTAGACATGCCAGATACCCAAATAAACACGTAGAAGCACTACCTAATAGTTCCTAATATGTCCCCTTTAATGTGAGTAATCAACTGGAGAGGTTTCATGTTGATATCTGTTAGTTCATTTTTACAACAACTAAAGCTTAATCTTATACAAGTTATTCAAGGAGTTAAATTGAGCAGGCTGAGAAGGAAAGAAGATTTATTGGTAAATTCTGACGCTTCACAGCTCAAATACTGAATGTTTCTTCACTAGAGACTGTGTGGAGACACGTGAGGACGTTGTCATGTTTTTTTTCCTTTTGTTGTCTCTCTGTTTGTGTGTCTGTCTCAGCTGAGGTTACTCTGTTCTTGCCCCTCGTGCAGGTCGGGTATCTAGCGCCATCTAGTGGCGCCATCTCTTCAAAGGCTTTATCTCCAGTGGAGACAAATGAGCTGCTTGAATTATTCTTACCTGAAACAACTGTCTCTTTTGAATGGCTTCTAGTGGCTTTGTGTGTCCTACAGTCATTTTGGGTCTGTAGATGTTTAGTCACACTTTGTTGTATTTGTGAGTCTCTTTGTAGCGCTTTTGTCTTTTTTGGGGTTTCTTTGTAGTGTGTTTTTCATCTATCTTCATATTTCTTTGGGGTCACTTTGAGTCTCTTGCAGTTGGCCTTTTTCACTTCAATCTATTGTCAAGATGAAATGTTTCTGCATCATTTCATGGCAATCCATCCAATATGTGTTTATTTGACTGCAAACCAAACCCATGTGAACCTCATGGTGGCGCTAGACGAGTCATTTGGATTCATTATCTCAGAACCATGAGAATGTGCATAAAATACCCATCCATAAAGGAGGAATAGATAGTTGTGAGCGGTCCTTTAACCCCACTTATTGGGCCCCAACTCTGCCTGTACACATTGTGGGAGCAGCTGGTCTGCAGATTAGTTTTGGTGTTAAAGCTGCTGACGGGCTTTAGCCATACGGCGGGCGGGAGGGCGGGACCTGCGGGACGCCAACCTCCACTGACATCCATCTGTCAGCCTCTACAACCCTCCTGATTTTACAGTTTACACCAATGGCAGTGTGAGTGTGTAGGAATGTAGACAACAGTAGTTGTTGTTCTTGCTTGTTCTTTTACAAAGAAGATGGTTGCAGCAGCAGCTTGACATTAGATAATTATGCAATCTAATAGGTTTTAATCAATTGTACACTTCAAAAGAGATGCAAGATACTGTATATACAGGATGGGCTTCAGTTATATATAAAGTAAATAATGCAGGTCACAGTGAAGGTCACATTCCACTCACAGTACATACACTGATCTGAGTTGGGTCTCACCAAACCCCAAACCTGGCATCGCCAAAACTTTAGCACTACCATTTAGCCTATCCCTACCAGTTCTAGTTATAAATAAGGATCAGTAACTGCTGCCTTATTAGATTGAAGTTTAAATATTTGCATCCATATTCATTGTGTATAGTGTGAAGGATTTACAAGTTCAAGTTCAATTTTATTTATGTAGCACATTTAAAAACAACCTCGGTTGACCAAAGTGCTTAACAAGCTCGAGAAGCAGCGATACAATGAATGTTCATTCATACAAATGAATGAACCCAGTAACCTAATAATGTAATACATACTGTCGTAAATGCAATTAGTCTTTGGTGAAGTACTGTGATGATTCAGTCAGTCAGTTATTTTGTTTCTTTCTTTTTATGTATGAATGTAATACAATACGATAAGTTTGTGCATTTTATAGAATACATTTGAAGTTATTATTGCTAAATATATTATTTTTAATATAAAAATATTGAACAGTTTCTAAAATATTTATGAAGAAGAGCGTTTAAGTTTGTTGTTGTCATCTGGCTCCTCCCCGCTCTGACGTCACACTCCCTTGTCCCTCCCATTCCCCCCGCAGAGTTGCATTCTGCTGCCACATCGGACCGAACCAATTCGGACTTCTGAGAACATATTAGCTTCACAATTCACCAGAAGATGCGTAGGTCCATCTGTATCAACACAAATGTCCGGTCATACATCCCCTCGTGTGCACTCATCGACGTGTCTTCACAGTCCCGGGGGGAGTTACGAAGTTTGTCCGAACCCACCACCCCCCTCTGCCTCCTCTTTAAAGTGGTCTGCTCCGCATGGCTGCCATGTTGGATGTACGCATCGCTGCTGCATCTGCTGGAGTTACCGAATAAAAGTTGAGCGTTTACACGCGTGCAGACACACAGAAAGTCCTTCTCGCGGCATTTGACCCGCAAACGCAGACGTTGGAGTTTCTGGTCCAAGGAGCCAAAGCCCGGAACACACCCGACCCGGCGCCTCGTTCTCCTCCGCCCCTCTAGCCGGGAGTCTGACTCCGCGGAGATGATCCGGTTGCAGGCCATAGCAACCGGAGCCTGCATGGATTTTCTGTAATTTCTCTCGTTTCCCGAGTCAGTTTTATAAACTGCACTTCTTGTCGGGGGGTCGTGGGGCGCTAACTCAAAGAATCCGGAGCCATGAACAACCACCCGCAGCCCCGCAGGGCTACCAACGTCGGCTCCATCCTCCTGACCCCGCAGGAGAACGAGTGCCTGTTCGGCTACCTCGGCAGGAAATGCGCCGTAAGTTCACAGTTTGTTTACCACCCGCGGTACGATACCGGTACACCCGGACCCGCGTCTTTCCTCTCCGGGGACTCAAAGCAGCGGGAATACACTCACCCCGCCGCTCAAACCGCGCGGCCCCGGTGTAGAAATCAGTGACCCTTTGAGACTCTTCGACGTCTATACTCTCCTCGCGTAGTTTATAAACATGCCCCCCCCATGCCTTTTTATATGGTCCCATATTTGTACAGACATCGTTTATTTTTAAATGCTTCATTGATTAATGCAGCTTCTGCAGTATGAACCTTTTTTAAGGATTTTCTCATTTTTAATAATAAAATAAAACTTAAAACTATGTATTTTTGTTTTTATATAGAAAATGAAAACTCTAAAATGATCCCTACGCTGCGTTGTAATATTCCAGACAGAGTCCTCTGTTATTCTGACTGTAAAGCTCTAAAGTTTAGTCCACATTAAAAAAACACATTTCTGAATAATACGAGAGTCCCCAGCAGGGTGCCAGGTGGCACGACACATCAGCTCTACTTTATTTTCATATTTGCCGATTTTAATATCAGACCAGACTGAACAGGAAGCGGTTTTCCACACTGAGGGAGAAACACCTGAGCTCAGGTGTCCTGATTCCCGTGAGGTAGACAAGCAATATTTTCTTATATATAAACTTTATGGTTTTGTAAAATGTGTTTTTATTCCTCAAAGCAAGCTGAAATGTTCGACTTAATTAATTATTGTGTTTTTAAAGACGCAATTTCACACAAGCGATAAAATGTGTTATTTACTGTAAGTTCCCCCCCATCGAAGAAGTTACGATTTTTTTTTTTTTAAATGTAATTTTAAAATAGTTTATAAAACACCAGCAACACTGTTAGAAACTGTGTCAAATTAAACATTTTTGAAATTTAAATTCTTCTAACCAGACCAAAGTCGCCTTCATGCTGACTTCTGGTGGTTTGTTCAGCAGCTGGAGGTGTGTGTTGGTGTTTGGAGATTTTGCTGGGACGGAGAAAGAAAAGCACTGAAAAGAGAACTTTGCAACTGAGTGGTGTAAAAAGTACATATTTCTCCTGTTTCTCATGGAGGCTTCTTCTTGTTCCTCTCGGAGGACACGAGTGAGTCTGAAGTCCAGTGCGGGTCGAGAATCGCTGTATTCATGTACGGAGAGGTCAGAAAAACAACTCCAAAAGTCTGACTGACGGTTCTTTCACATGAATGCACCACCAGTCAGACGGCGTTCCAGCATTAACTGCGTTACAGTGAAACAGGACTTTAAGAACTATAAGCTGACTGAGAGGTTTTTTTTTGTTTGTTTTTTAGAAATAAATTTAAAGAAGAGCTGCGGCCAATGAGTTGTTGTCTCTTTAAAACAATTCCCCCGCTGATGTCATGTTTAGTCGGGTCATAACTGTTCAGTTTGCATCGATATGAAACCCGGAACAAATTCCATTGCAGAGATTAGAGAGTTAATAAGAAGATTCAAACCGAATGGCTGTTTATTCAAAGCTGCAGAAGACTTGTTGCTGCAGGGAGTCTGCAGCGGTGCGTCTGGCTTGTTTTCCCTCGGCCTTCACGCGGCCTAATTGAGGCGTTTAGCAGCGGCGCCGCCTTTGACCCGCGAGGCTGAGCGGTGATTTGGTGGCGAGAAATGTTTCCTGACCTGAGCTCGTAAATCACCGATGAGGACACCTGGTGGCTTCTCCTCTTTGCGCCCCCTGGGGGGGGGGCTGAAACCAGAACGAGACGGATCGGAGGTCAGCAGCTGGGCACACATTAAAGGAATGTGAGATTTGAAATGAAACCGTATCTTTAAAGAGGTGATGCTTTTATTTAAGGCCGTTCATTCACAAGAAGCAACTCTGGTGGATTCAGTTTTTAATTCCGAAGCATCTTTAGATACTTTAAATGTACGTGGTTGTCGTAGAAACCAAACAACAAGCCACCAGCCATCCAAAAAGAAAAGGGGAAAGGAAACCAAAACAGAAGGTCGGTCCTACACATCCAAATAAATGGGATGTGGTTCTGGTGAAAAAGGCAACCTGAATAAAAGTGTTGACAGACATGTGACCAATGCACGGGTCAGTGAGAAAACGTCCGTAGTAGTGTCCTAAAACCGGCATCCTCTGTAGTGAACAGCAGGGGCCGACTCCTCTGGTCCCATAGACGTCTATGAGGAAATGACTACTTCACTCTTGATTTATTCCCTCAGTAAACATTGTAAACATGAGTTTATGGTCTCAGTGTCTAGTTTCAAGTCTTCAATAGACCATGATGTTCACTTAGTAGATTATGGTCCATGTAGCGTCAAACAGACCATAAAGCAGGGGATGCTTTAAGATCGACATGGTTGCACTAACCCTCACACAGTTGCCCCCTCCCCCCACCCACCCCCCCGGGGGCAGCATGAGGATATTTGCGTGACTTGTGATCTGGTGTGTTGCCACAGCGACCTGCTCTTTTTGTTTCCCACCTGGAGCGGCCGGTTTGTTCTGCACGTTTTGCATGGCGTCGATCCGCTCTGCTTGACGCTTCGGTATCAAAGCTCTGGTGTTGTTCTTCTCTGGTTCAGACTCTGTGCTCGGCCGTGGTCCAGGTGTACGCCGCCGACCGCACCAGCTGCTGGGTGAAGCGGTGCTGCGGAGTGGCTTGCCTGGTGAAAGACAACCCGCAGAGGTCCTACTTCATCCGAGTATTTGACATCAAGGTGAGCGGGGGAAGAGGTGGGGGGGGGGGGGCGTCACTTCAACACTTCTGTTGTGATGAGGATGCGTTTTCCAGGTGCATTCTGGTGTTTCTTGGTGCACATTCATGTTTGAACCCGACCGCCTGCCTATAAGACAAAATATAGGTATTGGTATTTGCCTCGAATCAAGAATTTTATTATTAGATTAGGCGCTACAATGATTAAATCAAAGTTATATTTATAAAACCTGCTGCAGCGAAATGCTTCTTAAACTTCATCTGATGAAAACGCTCCGTGTGCTTTTATATCCAGAGGATGTTAACCTGCCACTTGTAAACTGATTTTGTTGTTTTTTTGCAGGAAGGGAAAACCATGTTTGAGCAGGAAGTCTACCACAACTTCTCCATCAGCAGCTGCAGGTCCTACTTCATCTCTTTCACAGGAGACGTACGTGTGCAACGTTTTGTTTCTGATGGAAAGCATTTGTCACCCGTGATGTGTTTAAAGCGCGTTGTAAAGATAACCACTGTTTTTATGTTGAATATATTTAATTTGACAGTTTTCTAAAGGTTTTTTTTCATTATTGGCAGCGAAATTCAGCTTGCTTCTTTTCTTTTTACGATCATGTCCTCGGTTTGTCTGCAGAAACGTTTGACTTCTCGTCTATTCGTGATTGTTCTGCTTCCACAGAGGAGCTAAAACGCTTCAGGCAGTTAAAATGTCTCCTTCCTCTCAGACCTGTCAGATCGGCCTGAACTTCGCCAGCGAAGAGGAGGCCAAAAGATTCAGAGCCGCCATCAACGACCTGCTCAACCGACGACAGCGCAAGACCGGTACGTTTCACTTCCATGTGTGTGTGTGTGTGCGCACCTGTGGGTGAGGGTGACCTTTCACCTTTCCTGCCTGGACTCCTGCTGCAGAACACTAACCAGCTCACAAAAGCCTCATTCCCAAACCAGAGGTCCAGCTGCACTGGGGGATCAAACCAACCAGCAGCTGAACTCGAGGAGGGTCTGTTTTGTGTACCTGGACCTCCCTCCGACCGGAAGCCAGCTTTGCTGCCACTTTGACGTTTGTGATGTAAAGGAAGCCGATGCGTCTCGTGGCCGTCTGTGGATGGGGGCCGTGTGCGTTTCATCCTTTTTAAAGGAGGTCGCAGGAAATGTGCGCTTCAACCTAACTTGGTTTGCTCGTCGCTCCGCGTGCACATCTGGTGAACCGGTGGGCGAGCTGTCAAAGCTTTGCTTTGCTCTTCCTGTCTACGACCTTCTGAACCCTCTCTGACTTCTTCTCTCGTGTGTCTGAGGATCAGCATGTCTCTTCTTCTTCTCTTGGGCCGCACTAACAAGCTCCGCCTCCACCTCCTAAAAACGTCCCTTTTATGTGACGATTGTGGTCAGAAACTATAATTGTTTTTGTTTTTTTGCAGAGAAGAAAGGTGACCCTAAAAATGGTACGTTGATGCTGTTAGTATTGAGGATGCAGATCCTTCTACTGTTTGACACATTAAAAAGGAATCTGAGATCTGTTTGGACTCTACTGAGAACTCTTTGAGTTTTTAACGCTTGTTCTAGCCTGCTCTTATTGTGAAACTCCTGGCACTGAAACAGGAAGCATTAAAGACCATCCTTCGACGACTCATCGTATGAAGCTGATTCATTAAAAAGCGTCTCTCACAGAAACACATTTGTGTGTCTGCGTGATTGACAGCGGCAGACCGGAGGCGGGTCGAGTGGAAGTGCTTCCTGAACACGCGTTCCGATCTTGTGGCTCCGGCGGGTTTAATCGGTCAGCGGGGCGCCCATCTGTGCCATATGCAGACCACATGCTCCCTGCTGGTCCCTTTTAAACCGTGTTTGTGGTGCATTAATCTCTAATCCCCTCGGGGGCTGCTGAGCGACTTTTAGGTTTGCTCTTTTTATCGTTACGGGGAGAAAGAGCTGGCGAATCGGGTAAAAGATGTCGGTGGTGGAACATGGCACTGCAACAACAAAAAGGTTATTATGCTTCGTTTAAAATGGACAAGATGGTTCCTCACAAAGGATAAAACATTTATTTTGGGGGACTGCGTTTCATTTTAAAATAAGATTTCAAAGCTTTTAATTTTTAAGTGAATTCAAATAATAAAACAAACGTGTGTGCTTGATGGACCATAATTTATTAAATGAACATCATGCTGTACTGAAGACTTGAAAGTAGAATTGAGAGCACAAACTCATGTTTACTGAGGGAATAAATCAAGAGAGAAGTAGTCATTTCCTCATAGACGTCTGTAGGACCAGAGGAGTCGCCCCCTGCTGGTCACTGCAGAGTATGCAGCTCTAACAAATAGCAAAGTATTGGAATGTTAAGCACGAAGAAAAACAAACTTTAGGATCTCCAGTATTTTTCTGCTCAAATATGGATGAACTGTGAGTACGAAAGATAAGTCCTCTTTAGCACCGACCCGGTCCTCGGGAGACCGGAGCGGCTTTGAGGCGCTCGTGGGGAGACCCGGGATTAGGACGTGGATTACCAGGATTAGGTCGTTTGTGGGAGATTACGGGAATTCGAGCACTGAGAGGAGGGACCTCCGCTCTGTGTTTTTATTTATTATTAAATCTCAGTGGCCAGCAGCTCTTTGCCGTATTGATCCCACAGGTACGAGGTAGATGTCCGTGTCGGGGGAAGGGGGGGTCACATTACTACAGTGGAAACCCTGCCTGTCTCCATTCACCTCCCCTACATCCTCTCAGTCTTTGATATAGTTTTAAATCCGCAATAATAAACCCAAATATATATCTGGTAAATTGGTTCTAAGATCAATAGAATAAATCCTGCAGCGCTCTGTAGATGTGAGGCTATTTAAACTCTAAAGGATTGTTCTTCTCAGGAATGAAAAGTGTGTGTGTGTGTGTGTGTGCGTGCGCAGGTCCCACTCTGCACATCGCCACGGTGGACATCAAGAACCCGGAGATCAACAGCGTTCGATTCCACGGCCACCAGCAGCCGCCGTACCACCTCAACAACATTCTGAGCCACAGCGGGCTCAACAGGAAGGACAGGAAGACCAAAGGCAAGAAGAAGAAGCTCACCAAGGCCGACATCGGCACGCCCAGCAACTTCCAGTGAGTCTCTCTCTCTCTCTCTCTCTGTGTGTGTGTGTGTGTGTGTGTGTGTGTGTGTGTGTGTGTGTGTGTGTGTGTGTGTGTTCGTGCAGTAGAGTTCTTCGTGGCAACAGTAAACATGCTTCACTGAGGTCTGAGAGCGCTCAAAGACCACTCTGTCTGTGACTGATGTCACTGTCCCCGGTGTGTGTGTGTGTGGTATTCATTGTGCCCACGTGCACATGCTAAACATGCCTTTGCATATTAATGTGTGTGATCTCACCATACATCTGTCCGTTCTTCTTCAGGCACATCGGTCACGTGGGCTGGGATCCAGACACAGGTTTTGATGTGAGTGTGTGCGCTCACACACACACACACACACACACACACACAATAGTGACCTGTGTGGTGGCTGCATGATGAAATCACACAATAGGCTCTTTTTTCTTGCTGCTCATATTCACAAAGGTCTCAGAATCTGCACACAAAAGGTTCTCACTGAAGGAATGAATACATATCAATGCAAATATTAACACTGACGAATCCAAAGAATGAAACGAATATCAGTATGTTTAACCGTTAATACCGAGATGATTGTACGTCTGCTGGAGGATTGAAACTGCGTACTGGACCTTCATGCTCTTTGTTCCACGTGAATGAACCTGAAGGAAACGTTTAGTGATGTGAATCCAGAGGAGAATAACTCTGTAGGATTGTAAATCTTTTTCTACTTTAGGGTGTGACAGATGAGTCCCTGGTTTCCATAGCAACCGGAGCCTGAGTTCGGGCCAACAAGCAGGATGCTTTAGGTTGCCTTTACGTTCAATATTTCCTATGTTCCTCTCTACTGATGGAGCGCGCTTGACCGCACCACCCTCTCCCAGGAGACGATGCAGAGATGCGGGTCGACTAAGCAGTTTTGTTTTCGAGCAGCTTGTAGTTGTTCCTGTTGGCCACCAGGTGTCACACTGCCACTGCTGGTCCAGAGGAAGAAGAATCTGACGCCTTCGTTTTAAATGTCGAAACGATCGATGAAGAGTTGTTTGGTCCTAGATGAGGAGAGAGGAATCCGAACAAACTAACTAACAAATAAAACACAACATTCTTTCTTTGACTCTGACTGAGAAACTAGAACTACATGAAGGATTATAAAGTCTAACCCTAACCCTGGAAGAGCCTGACCATTAAGCAATAAGACCTCTGGTGTGAGAAGAAGCAATAATAATTAAGTCTGGATCAGTTAGATCTTCAACGAGCACCAAACTCAAAGGAGGAAGAACTAAGAAAAGTAGACTTTATTTTATTTTTTAGACTTTTCTTTTTAGGCAAGAGCAGAGAAGTTAATATCAAACACTTTGTTTCTGTGGAGTCTCATCTTCATAAAACTGTATTTATGGTTCGATTATAAACCCAGCACTCTGATGTGTGTGTGTGCAGCTGAACAACTTGGACCCCGAGCTGAAGATGCTGTTTGACATGTGCGGCATCTCCGAGGCGCAGCTGAAGGACCGAGAGACGTCCAAGGTCATCTACGACTTCATCGAGAAGAAAGGCGGCGTAGAGGCCGTCAAGAACGAGCTGAGGAGGCAGGGTGAGCGCGCACACACACACACACACACACACACACACACACTGAGAGAGACGGGACCCTTTGAGGTGTCAGACTGATCTTTCATGCTGAAGACGTGTTTCATCCGTTCACAGCAGGAGTTTTAACTGAATTAGCGGTTGTTTCTTTTTGTTTGTACTTTGTTTTAAATGTTTAACTTTTAATGCTTTGTTTTAATGTCGTCATTTTTATTTATTTAAATGTTCTTTTGAACCTCAGCGCTAGATGAGGTTTGATGACGTTACCGGCTCCTTTTTTTAAGTCCAAACACCGACTGTTTGTCACGTAATGACGCATTAAAGATCTCCGCCTGGACATTTAGTCCCTCTACTGATATTCTACGAAACAGAACAGTATTTAAAGTCTTGAGTCACAGATTTACTAAATTCTGAGTATTCACCATCTTTTCAAGTGGAACTTTTAATTTTTTATGAACTGATTTTAAAATCCTCTCACCTTTTCGTCAGTCGGGTTGAAACGGGGTTTTTTGGTTCCTTTGTGCGTCACAGTTTCATTGGTGGTGACAGGCTCTTATTCTTCTGCATCTTTTATTCATGTTGACCTCCCCCGGTTTAAAGGCAGGAGTGATCTGAATATAAAGGTGTCGTTTCTTTCTCCTTTAGTTTATTGCTGCTTTTTCTAAACAATTTAAGAATATCAGATCATCACCAAAACATGTTCAAACTTAAAAAAAAAAAATCTTTGTTTTCTTTCCTAATTAAATAAAATCCAATCATCACATTTAAGAAGCAGGAATTGTAAAATTAGGATGAATATTATTCGGAAATGGTTAAACACAGATATCCTGTGCCCCCCCCCCCCACAGCACCCCCTCCACCTCCATCTCGGGGCGGCGCTCCACCTCCACCACCACAAAACAAAAATTAAAGCGCCCCCTCTTCCTTCGCCCCCGGTTTGAGAGAAGAATCGGGACCCCGCCTCCCCCTCCTCCGTCCAGAGCCCCCACCTCAGCGCCGCCTCCTCCGCCTCCCTCCAGACCGGGAACTCTGGGTGCCCCGCCTCCTCCACCTCCGCTCACCAGGGGAGTACACCAACCCACTCCCCCACCCCACCACCATCACCAGCCTCCTCCTCCACCCCCTCCTGCATCTTCCTTACACTCTTCTGTCACCCCACAAGCCCCGCCCCCGCCACCTCCACCTCCACCACTGAGCCAGCAGTCTCCAGTTGGCGGCTGCGCCCCAGCGCCACCACCTCCTCCGCCTCCCCCTCCCGGCCCCCCCCTCCCCCTGCGGAGCTGGACAACAACTCTCCCCATTCGCCGAGCCCCGGGGGGAAGTCGGCCCTGCTGGAGCAGATCAGAGGCGGAGCTCAGTTGAAGAAGGTGGAGCCGATCGAGCGAGCGCCGGCGACGGGCGTGAAAAGGGACGCTCTGCTGGACCAGATCCGCCAGGGGATCCAGCTCAAGACCGTAAGGGCTCGTCGCATGACTTCTCTGCGGAGCAAAAGATGCGGCGCCCCCCCACTAACCAACCAGACCGCCTCTTCTTCTGTGTGTCTCCAGGTGCCGGATCACCCGGAGTCCGGACCGCCGGCGCCCGGCCCCACGGCGGGCATCGTAGGCGCCCTCATGGAAGTGATGGACCAGAGGAGGGAAGCCATCCATTCCTCAGGTAACTCGGGGCTGGTTAGCTTAGCTTAGCATAGCACAAAGACTGAAACCAACCTCACACATACATAATAACATATTACATGGGGCTTTGTAATTTAAACTCTAAATGTGTCTGTTTCTCAGACGAAGACGAGGATGACGACGAAGATGAGGACTTCGATGACGATGAGGAATGGGAGGACTAGTACAGAGCCCCCCCTCCCCCCAACCCTCTCACCCCCCACAAACTACCGCTGACACTAAGACACCCGCTAAAGATCTACCAGCATCCGACTGACATCTTGATGTAAACGTATGAATCTGGCTGCATATTTATTTCTGCTTTTTGTTAACAATAATTAATCCGTGCAATACCTCATCTGTTAGACTGTAAAACCAGTCACGCATCCTCGTGGTCAGAGACTAGTTTCCTCCCGTGGTCCGAAAGCACTCAACTGCTTCGTCGGCTCCTCCGCACGGGACACCGGGGGTCTGATCCCGTGTGTTTGTTTGTTTTGACTCGTCGTCAAAGGAGACGTGAACGACCAAACAGGCGGGATCCTCTTTGTGTTTAAACACTATTTATTTTTCTTACCTTTGCGTTTCCTAATGAATTTTAGATTTAGTCGTATTATTTTTCCATAAAACCTCCTTTTGACCAAAATGCGGCGGTCCTGTCGCCTAGCGTTGTTTTTCATGGATTTAAAGCTGTTTATTTGCACATAGTTTATATGATAGTTGCGTTTTGTGTTTTTCAGGTGTGCGTTTTGTTGAGTATTCGTGTTTCAGTTACAACTGACGAAGGGACACTTTTTTTAATATAAATTTGAAGGTTTTCACAACATGTAGGTCTTGATTCCCTCTTTGGCTTCACACAAGAACACTACTACACACGTAAGCTGACACACACACTGTGGCATTTGTGGAATGATGCATTATTTTTGTTAGTGTCTGGTTCATTGTTCTTTTGTTGTGGCATGATTCCGTTATTTTTCCACATGAGGGGAAAACATCAGTGGCACTCCGGTTGGTATTTCAAAACTAAATCACGTCATGCAAAAGAACTAAGACAAAAATACATAATTTATCCTCTTCCAGTTAAGGAAACTATCATTTTATGCAACACAACTGTAAATGCCTTGTCACAGAGAATACTGTTTTTAAAAAAGAGCAAATACTAATAAACCAAATGTGGCATTTGCAAGCAGCTTGCGGGTGAGAAGGAAAAACCCGACCCTGGTTTTAACTGTTGAAGCTTTTAAACCGTCCGCCAGCAAGGCTTTAATGCTGCATCGAGAAGCCCAGATACTGAGCCTGTGAAAGGGGGTGGGAAGGGAGGGGGGGTGGGGGTAGTATGAGAATACTAAATTGTATACTTAAATAAATGTTAATATTTACAGAGAAACTTGTCTTGTTCTTTGTTAAAGTGCTCTTTCAGATGGGAAGATGTTGATTTTCTCTTTTTTCCAGCCTCATGCTTTTATTTTGAAGGGTCCTTGCATTTCATTTATTTCAGAACACAGAGAACAAAGCTGTACAACGTACCTCACTCTCTCCTCAATTCACAAGTGATTAAACCGTAACACTCACAGGGCATTTTATTAAAGACGTCAAAGCGATGTAATGAGGAGTCACGCAGTTCTGCTCGCCTCCCGAGGGCGGTCGGTATTTACTTTGAACAGCTGTTTGATGAACTCCAGTTTTGTGTGTGTGTGTGTGTGTGTGTAAACAGACTGGCTTAGAAATTGATTCCTGTACAGATTGATGGATTTGTTTTTTCAGATAGCAGGCTAGCTAGCAAGGTTGCTAAGTACACCATGTTTTAATGCTACATTAGCTGTCATTAACACAAGCTACATTTAGTCAAATAGCTTTCTCCAGAGATCCGTCGGCTGTCTTCCCGGCGAGCGGCGGCAAGCCTTTTTTGGCCCCACTAATGTGTCGTCACCATAGCAACTAGCGACAACAGCCATATTCTTTTGTACAAATCAGATGACCACAGAAAATAGTTCAATGTCAGTTCAATTACCATTCTATTTCTACGTCTTCGAGTCGGCTCGTCGATCTCTGCTCTACGCTGTACCCACATGTGCTTTGATTAAGCATGTTGCCGTGCTAACACGTGCCAACACGCTAACCCTGGGAAATATCATGCTAGAGGTTATAGCAAAATAAATATGATGTGTGCCTGCGTCTAGGCCCCAACCAGCTGCATTTGGTGACATCCAGCACGCTAATTTGTCAGCGTAGTACCGGGATACTGCTACATGTTTTCTATGCTAGCTAGCATAGCATTGCCATGTTATGTGAGCATTGATTTAGCTTAGCCAAGCTTTTGTCTCATTACTTTTAGGGAGGTCACAGAAAAGGGTATTTCTTGGATTTTATAAAAGCATCAGTTTGCTTTCATGTAGAACAAATATAATCATCTGTAGTTTATACTGTGTGTGCGCCTGTGCGTTGATGGACTTAAGCTTTGGCTGAGAGGTGTAGAGAGATGATCGCTTTGAGTTACGTTTTTTTAGAAACGTCAGTCCTCGTAGGCGGGAAAACACCGCTTGCATTCATGTTGTAGTCTTCTGAGCTTGTCATTGCCAATCAAGAAACAGAGCGACCAGAAAATCTTTTTCCCGAGAACAACCGAGACAAATTAATTAAAAGGAAAAAAAGAAACTCTTTAGACAAAAACAAAACAACATAATATTAGTTTTGAAGAAACCGAAAGGAAAATAAAAATTGAGCAAAACCCTCAAGGATTTGAAGGCCACAACAACGTATCGTAGCTTCTATTTACATTTAAAACATCTTAAAGAACCTTATTTAGATCCTGAGTCATAAAACAAATAAAGAAAATACACTTATTTTGAAAGGAAAGGCACAAACCTGTACATCGACTTTATTTCTCCACGCGTCAGGATCCACAGTTTCACACAGTAACAAAAAACAATGCCTCAAACAAACAGAAAAGCAGTCTGCTAAAACGCTGCGTGACGACATGAATAATGTGCTTTTTAAAAGTGACATTTTAGTGTGAAGTGTTTCTATGCAAAGTGAAAAGAGTTCAGGTGAGGTGAGCAGGTGAGTTCAGGCGTAGGACAGATCCACCTGAAACGACAAACATCACGCACCTGATAAAGGGACAGCACACAGTAAAGGTTAATAAATTATGTTACACATACTGTTTTTTTCAAAATAATGGTCTGCATTTAACAAAAGGATACATATATCATTTTAGTTAACGTTAATTAAAAATTTCCTTTTTTTATACGTCAAGGCTTATGATTCATAAAAACCCTTTTGATGGAATGTTGCCCTCCTTCAGGATGTCGGGATAAGGATCCATTTCTCGCTGGGTAGCCCGAGGAATAAACACAAAACCAAAATGAATCCTTTGGTCAAAGAAAACCTCAAAAGAGGACTTCCTGTCTGTAGGCCTTAGAAATACTTGATCTGGTTTGTCTAAGCGTCTCGGCTTGATGAGTTGGGTTTGTTTTACTATCATATTCTCTTTGTTATTGGGGCCCACGTTGCCCGAATCAGTCTCTCACTGTCCTTGGAGCCCCTGTGGACACATTGTGTTGAAAGCTCTCTAAATCTTGTGCGCATCAGAACAGCACTCTGCTCTCTTCCCAGAAGCCATCTGTCTTATCAAACCGCCGTGGAGGAGTCAGAACTATTTATAACCCGAAAGAAAGCGTGTCGAGGAATGACCGACCGTTGTAAGAAGCGGGCACACTCACAGATTTGTTCCTGGACTCAAGAGGCGGTCCGGTTAGTGGGGGGGGCAACCACATCTTTTGCTCCGCAGAGAAGTCATGTGACGAGCCCTTACGGTCTTCCTGGACTCAATTTTGCCATCGCGTCAAAAACAAGAGACCCAATTTGGTCTGAGAAGGAATGACTAAGTAGAAACCTGTCAATCAGAGTAAGCCACGCCGCAAAGCATCCCCTGCTTTATGGTCTGTTTGAACCTAAACCCATGTTTACAATGTTTACTGAGAGAATAAATCAGAGGAGTAGTAGTCATTTTCTCATAGACTTGGGCCAGAGGAGTCGCCCCCTGGTGGTCACTACAGAGAATGCAGCTTTTACGACATTCCTAAAAGCTCAATTTGTAGAAATGGAGGTGACTGCCTGGTTCCCATTGACTGGGTCTGAAACCTTAAATGACGTCTTTCCCTTTTACAAAACACCCAAATCACTTCATCAAGATTGAAGTCTTACCCTTTTTAAGGACCCGATGCTGCTCCCGCGGATCGCAGCCATCAGGTTGTCGTGGCTTGACCTCTCCGCTGGCTCTGGCAGCGCCAGGCATGGCGGTTCGTCTGGTCTCTTCTGCAGCAAAGGCTTCAAAGTCTTCTTCAGGTCAATGAGAATCTCTGCGCTCTCTTTCTGGTTGGCGCCGTTCTTGAGCTTCTTTGACTTTGTCTTCCTCTGGTTCGACTGGGTCTTCGGCATGTTCGAGCCATCGTGCTGTTTGAGCACTTCGGAGATCTTCCTCGTCAGCGGGTCTAAAGACTGAGGAGGTGGAGTAGAAGGAGGGTTTCTGTTCTGGTTTCCAATGGTTTTAGGAGGTTGTGATGTCTTCTTCAAGGGTCTGTTTACTGCGGGTGAACCAAGGCCATGTCCCGAGGCCTCGGGAGGACTCTGCTCCTTCTTCTGTCGCAGCCTCCGCTGACGCTGCTGGTCCTGGTTGCGCGTCAGGATGCCGGTCGCGGTCATCCTCGGGCCCGGGAGGTCAAACTGGTAGCCGAGCTTGAGCAGAGTGGTGTTTTCCCTCAGCAGCTGGACCATCTCCATCTCCACCTTCCCCCCGCATATGTGCCTCTGGTTGTGGAAGCGCAGCTCCACCAGCGTCTTGTTGTGCTGCAGCGCCTCCAGCAGCGCGAGGATGCCCCGACCGGACACAAAGTTGGAATCAATGTTCAGGTTCCTGACGGAGCGGTTCTCGCGGAGCATCCGGGACACGGCGAGGGCCACGCGGTCGTCGGCGTGGGTGTTGGTGAGGCTGAAGACGTGGACGTGGGTGTTGGCGCGCAGGGCATCGGCGAAGCCCAGCAAGGTGTCCTGGGAGATGTCCTCGATGTTGTTGAGGTTGACTTCACTCACAGCAGGGTCGTCGCAGAGGATCCGCTCCAGAGTCTCGAGGACGGCGGTGGGGTTCCCGCTCGCCCTGTCGGGGCTTTCCTTCAGGTCGGTTTCGGTCCTCCTCAATTCGCTCCTCAGGCCCTTAGAGAGACTTTTCTTCGAAGGACCTTCGCTCCTCATTGGAGCCTCCTTTTTACACTCATCTTTCTTTTCCGCCTCGTTGACTTTCCTCCCCTTTGGAGACGTCTTCTTCCTGACGCTCCCCAGTGTCTTGCCGGTGTTGCCGGCGACGGCGGTCACTCGTCCCCCTCTGTGTTTCTCCTGCAGCCAATAAAAGGACAGAAAATGAACTGGAACGCTGATATTCTCCAGACTCTTTTAATTAAGAACCCTCTCCAGCGCTGGCAGGCAGTCATTAAGGCTGGCATTTCTATAACAGTCCATATTTTCTTCTTTCTTTCCACCCACACGTCTGAGGGGACAAATGTGACATTTCTACATAATTATATTATGCCAAAGGGTTGATGTTTGAACACATGATCAACATGCATGTACAATGAGATTATTTTCTTTTTGTAAATAAAACCAAGAGCAAAACAAACCAACTGTGATGGTGTGGCGTCAAATTATTGGAATTATTATCCTTTGACTGACAAAAATGTATTTTTAGGCTTGTTTTACACCAACAAAGATTAATGTAAAGCACAAATTAACTTAACTAAATTGTTTTGTACCAAACTTTAAAACTTGATTCCAATGAAACAAAATGAACATCTAAACCTGGCTTTAATTAGTTGCTCCAGAGCTTTAATGATCGGTATTGCCTTTACCAAAGAAATTTAAAGTGAAAGTTCCCCTTGTTTTTTATAGCCTACTTACTCGATCTGGAGAGCACGGCAGTTCAGTGATGAAGTTCTGTCCCCCGTTGGACTCCGTCCTCTCATCCCGCAGCAGCTTCCTGTTCTCGTCCTCCCAGTGCTTCAGCAGAGCGGCCCGGTCGAAGCCCCCCGTGGGGCGCCTGGCCGTCTGGTCCCTCTGCCTCAGGCCGATGGGGATGGTGTCGTCCAGGTCGGCCAGCTCCCTCTCCAGCTCCCAGAGCTCCTCGGAGGAGAGCGCGGCCAGCAGCTCGTCCTCGTCCACCTCCTCGCACTTATTCTGCCCGGAGGTGCTCATGGTTTCTTCTTCTTGTGCTTTTGTGTCCTTGGTTAAATCTTCCCTGGGTGGGTTTCCTGCTCCGGTCTACTCTCTGACTCCATCAGGTTCCTTCAGGTCTGCTGGCGAGTCTTCGAGTGTCCTCGTTCATCTTCTGGTCCTAGAGCCAGAGGGGCCTGACGGGGTCTTTTTTTAGGTGTGAGTGTGTGTGTGTGTGTGTGTGTAGGGGCTGGGTGGGTGGGGGTGCTGGGGGGGGAAATGGTCAATGAGATAGGCTTAGTACAGGAATGTGAGCCCTCTAAGTGGCCTGCAGCGAGAAGTCATCAGCTACTCTCGCCCTCGAGAAGAACCGAAGGGGAACACAGCGCCATGGGGGGACATCGGAGACGAAGCTCGTTACGTTGCGTTGTCAGGGAAACCCTTGTTGAACCCTGACGCTGTTTACACCAACAAATCCACTTCTAGGCAGTGCAGGATGAGTCATCAGAGGCTTCAGAATTCAGAACCATCAACTTTCTCAGTTATTAGACAGTTTGGCAGTCTAGATGTGTCAGAATTTGGGTTTTTTTGCTACCACAAGGGTCGAGAAAAGTACAACTGAAAGCTGAAAAGAGCATTTTTACGAACAAAATATCACAATGAACTGACTGAACAATGTTCACTGAGGGAGTAAATCAAGAGGAAAGTAGTCATATGGGACTAGTCGCTCCCTGCTGGTCACTACAGAGAGGTTTTAGGACACCACTGCAGAAGGTTTCTCGTTGAACTGCTGCATTAGTCACCATTAGTTCGGATGTGTAGGACCGACCTCCCATTGTTCTTTTCTTTCCTCTTTTCTTTTTTCTTTTGGAGGGCTGGTTGTTTGGTTTCCACGACAACCAACAGAGCTCAGTGGAGACGTGCATCCATCACTGATTCGTGTTTAACAAGCAGCTTTCGAAGTCGACTCGTGTTACACGTCCAGAGCGAAAAGACATGACACCACTGTGGTGAATTTGACCTTTGACCCGGATTATGCTGATGAGCATAATCAGTCTCATCCAGCTGTGCGCCGTGGACAAAGAATGGGAACATGATTACTCAAGGCCCCCACCTGCTTAAATGTGCAGAACTCCCATTTCCTCTTGGGCTGAATATTTTCTAAAATCATCCATACATTTTTAATAAAGTAATTTTGTCTCCTTCAGGCAGCTGATAGTTTCATTCATTTTCTACGGAAATAAACTTGCAGTGAAGCGATCCGTTACGGTCAGGGACTTTATTTATATATTAATTATATCTATGATTCTTTGGCACATGTCCCACACCTCAAAGGAAACATTTATAACGTGTTTTAAAAATAGATTTAATTATTTTTCCTCTGAGCCCCTGCTCGCCTACTCTACAAGTTAAGAATTTCAGGGATTATTTATTGTCATTATGCACAACATAATTCAGTTGTACCCCCACAGACAACAAACAAAACATAACAGTAGTACATTCATGTAGTGCATTTCTGGATTTGCCACATATGGAATGTAAATAATATGTAATATAGTAAGGCCAATGTCTTCACCTTCTCCAGTCCAATCACAGTCCAGCTCTCGGCCTGATGTTAGCTTAGCTTGGCCCTCCCACCTCTGGGGCGGTTTTAGCTGCTCTTGCACCTGCTGTTGTTTCACCTCTGCCTCGGCGCCGACCCAACTCGCAGTTTGAGAGTCGTTCAAACCTCTCGTCTATTATCAGGTTCTCTGTGACCAGAATCTGAAGCCACGTTGTTGTGTTGTTATTGTTGTTATTCAAGCAGGTCAGGAGGTCCAACTTAGTCCCAACATCTCCAGCTTTAGTCCAGACTGAGATCCCCCCTCAGCCACAGGAGGAATTGCCTCACTATTATCTGGTTTACGCATGTGTATATATATATGTATTTAAGTATGAATTTCCTTTGGATTTATCCAGGAAACCATTTCTACAATCAACGCATTTCGTTCTTAGAAGGTGAAACCATAAAGCAGGGGATTACTGTGATTGACAGGTCTCTACTATGGCTTTTGTAAAATATTCTTCTTTTTTATTATTCTTCTTTTTATTTGAGAATCAACCTTGTGGTTATGTGATGTCTGACCATCAGCTGGTCTGATACTTTCTTCCACAAGTCACAACTAAGAGGCTCTGTTCTCTAATTTGACCATGTGACAGTTCAATAATAGCACTAATTATGATAATCAGTCAGAGGGACGTTTTGATAAAATAAAGAGTTGGTGATCACAGATCTGGGCCTTTAAGTAGCTTTGACAAACCGGCTCTGTTTAATAAGAACCAACAGATGAGACGTCGTCGCCCTTACTCCTCTCCGCGGAGGACTTAGTCGTGGAGGTCGTTCCCTCTGAACATCAGGAAGTCCCTCAGCCGGTCGGGCAGCTGGGCGGACCTCAGAGCGCTGCAGCTCAGGTGTTTCCTGATCACCACTCTGCTCAGGTGAGACAGAGAGCGAGGGTTACCTGGAGACCACAGGGAGACGCCGGTTGGAAAGTTTTAACTGGATGTCTACAGTGAAGTCTCCTGGTGTTCTCTAGCAGCTCTTTGTCGAGGGACTGAGCCCCTCCCCTTGCTGTGTCTCCCATGGGACCTCATTTTGGAAATATGTATGTCAATTAACAGCAAGAGACAGTTTAAAATGTGCCATTGGATGGAGACTTAGCCTCTCCATTACACCCCCCCCTCCCCTGGCCCCGCCCCGCTGACTCACACGTGGTGCGGTGGATGCGAGGCCACTCCTCGTGTCTCTCCACCAGCTTCGTCAGTTTGCTGCAGAGAGAAACCGGTCCAACGTAGTCGAGGAGGATCGACACCACCCGGCCCGCCAGGCCCGCCAGGCGGGGGACGCTGACAAAGTCGCAGAACTGGACAACAAAGTAAGACATTTATTGGACTAGTAGTTATTTAGATTACTATTCATACAGATATTGAATATCACACCTATTTAAAAGATGTATCAAGAAATATTATTAAATATCATTTTGGATTGAAGACAGTTTTTAGACATATTGGAGAGAGAAAAGTATTTGTGATCATGAAATTGGGTTGAAATTTGCTGAAAAAGCCTCAAGTTTACCCTCAGTTGAGATTTTCAGCTGCTGTTTTCAAAGAACAATGAGCTTTATTGATCAGAAATGTTGTGTTTGGTAGCAGTTAATTAAATTAAAATCCAGTATTGAATCCCTTATTTAACTTGCTTTACCTTTTGCGATGTAAAGAAATTATCAAATAAATACAACTCAATAACCTTTTGTTGGCTGAGAAGGCCGTTTAGTTATTATTGATGCTTTTATTAATGATCACAGACAAATGAAAATTAAGTATGAGTTGTGCCTGGTGAGATTTCTTTTTAATAAATTACAATAATCCTTTTCCGACTCCAGCGAGGACGAGAACTCACTGCGACTCCCTCCTTCGTCTCCGGCGAGTCGTCGGACCCGCTCAGGGGGTCCCAGTCGTCGCCATGGTTACAACGGAAACACTTCTCGGCGTCGTAGCCGCTATGGAGCAACAGCCTCATCATCGCCTCGTCCTTCAGGCAGTACTGCAGCGCCGTGGGAAACGTTGCGTCGCTCGTCAATGCCGAGCGACAGTTGGCGTCCGCCCCGGCCTCCAGCAGCAGCCTAGCGATTTCGCGGCACCCCGACCGGACCGCCACCAGGAGGCAGCACAGCGGGTCCAGGTCGGGTTGAGCCCCCGACCTCAGCAGGATCTCGGTGCAGGCCGCGTCCCTGTTGGAGACGGCGAAGTACAGCGGGCTGCTTCTCGCGTCGCCGTAGCCGTGGGAGACGTGGGGGGCTAGCCGGGCGTTGACGTCGAAGCCTTCCCGCAGCAGCAGCTCCAGGCAGGGGGCGTGGCCTCCGTCGGCGGCGGAGTGCACCGGGCTGTAGCCGGACAGACGCAGGGCTCGCCGGGTGGTGATCGGGATCAAAGTCCTCAAAGCGCTGGTGGAGGGGAAGAAAAGAGCGGGTCGTTATAGAACAGGGGTCTCAAACATCCGGAACTAGCAGGGCTAGGACTAAAGCGCTAGAACGTTTCCCACGTGGTCGGGACATTTTACTCCCGACTTGTTGGAAACTCATCGGGCAGCCTTCACAAATGTAGATTTTAGAAGTAGCTGGCTGTGTGTGAGGATAACTAGTTATATCAGATGAATGCATGTATCAGGCCCTGTGTTAATTTACTCATCACTTGGCGAGCTAACGTCTTAAATGGACACCAAATGCACACAGTACAGACTGCTCTGCCTTGAGGGACTCGTCTGTCTCTTTTTAACGGCCTGAATCTAGAATCTCCTTCTGGTTTCGGCAGAGACATGCGATCACCCTCGGTTCAATGAACTCTTTTGTCTCTTCTGCGTTTGGTGCAGTTCAGCTTCCGGGGTTCGCTGACTCACAGGAGGTGTCCCTCGTAGGCGGCGTGGTGGATGGGCAGCTGGGAGCTCAGGTTATGGATGTTGGGGTTCGCTCCGTGCTGCAGCAGGATGTCGATGCAGTCTAGATTCCCTGAGCCCGCGGCGTCGTACAAGACGCTGTCGCCGTTCGGCGCCCGGCCGTTTACATCGGCACCTTTTTTTTCAAAATGTATACAGAAGAAGAAAACAAAATAATTTGGATTTTCAAAGGCAGGTTTTTAAAAACGCTGGAATGAAATCAGTGGGTTGGTTATCGATTCACCGTGTTTGATGAGGAGCTCCAGGACCTCCGAGTGGCCGTACTCCGCAGCGATGCCCAGAAGAGTCACTCCGTACTGGTCTGTCTCCGAGACCTGACCTCCGTTCTGCAGCAGCAGGTCCACGACGCCAACGCAGCCGGCCCTGCAGGCCTCGTGCATGGCCGTCCACTTCTTCAGACACACCTGCCCCACCCGAGCCCCCCCGGCTATCAGACTGGAAACCATCTGGCAAGATCCGGATCGGACCGCTGCAAAGAGGAGGAACCAAAGGTGAGGAAGGACAGGGCGAACGTCTACTGACCAGCAGGGGGCGACCCCCCCCTTAAGTCTGATGGTGTGGAAGTCTGACCTAGAAGCAGAGGGGATTCGTTGTTGCTGTTGGTCATGTGAGGAGAAGCTCCGTAGTCCAGCAGCATCTTCACGTTCTCCACAAAACCAGCTGTCACTGCCAGAGTGAGGAAGCTCTCTCCCTCCGAGGTCCTTTCCTCCAGAGTCAGACGGAGAGACGCTGCAGCACAAACAAGAAAAGTTGACCGTTGATTCACTGAAATCAGCTGTAAAGACACGAGAAGTGACCCGTTACTGTATCCCGTCCGACTGGGAGGAGTAAGGAATAAGTAACACCTAATATTATCTGTCATTGATAAATGATTAACCGATGGTAAACTTTAGTCATTATTTTAAGAAGAACTCTACTCCATGCGCCACGCTCCCCCATTTTCTTAGATATGAATTGAATGTAATCAACTCAACTCAACAATCCCCCTTTGTTGCGTCATTCGCTTGCTCTGAAGTCTCTTCTTTAGGTCATCTTAACGCCTTCAGTGGCTCTTTCTCTTCCCCTGGTGGGAAATCAAAATGTGGACCTCTTACCCACCGTGCAGCACCGTCTGTAGGACCAGGACCAGAGGTTGGACCACCGCCCTGTGCAGAGGGTACCAGCCGCGCTCATCCGTCTGACTGAAGGCTGCTGGGAAATCACACAGCTTCTGCAAGGCGAGTACGTCACCTGCAGCGACAGGTTGAACTGAGTCAGTGCTCTATTATTGAGTCAAGCTACAAAGATACTACAAAGAGATACAAAGTAACTACAAACCGACAGAAAATCAGTATAAAGAGATACAAAAAGGTTACTAAGAGAAACAAAACCATCACAAAGACATAAATAACTACAAAGAGACTCAAAACAAGTGCTACGAAACAAAGAACAAATGTTTGCAAAGATCTGAGTAATTGTTCTATTCCGAACACATAAGGGTCACGAGGAAGTGTATTTTGGAACCATTGATTGACTGTATCACTGGGGGAAGAATTTGACTTTTTTACCTTCTTTGATGGCCTCTGTGAGCTGCAGAGCTTCACTCCTGAACATTAAAGGGGAGATGAATGCACATCTTTTAGAAATATGCAGCAATGTGGGAGGAGGAATTGTTCCCCCGAGGCCATACCTTCCGGGTCCCTTTTCACGTTCCATCGACTCCTCAATGCTCATCTCAACGTCCAAGTGCAGAAGCTGGTCTTCCTTCAGGTCATCAGGTGTCCATCCTTCGGACATCACACAGCTACAGACACACAAATTCACAACTTCACATGACTTCAGTCTCTATCTGTTTGAAGAAAAGGTCCAAAACTCAAAAATATTACGGCGATAAAAGACAAAGAAAAACATTGAAACGTCCCATTTGAGGACCTGAAGTTGTATGTTGCGTTGATCAGATATAACATTGGGGGTACAGGTACACAACAGTATAAACTCTACAGGGAAAAGTGTCTGAATACACCTGTAACATGATCGAAGCTACATGGACGGATCTTCATCTGGTCTAATGGGTTGTCGTAGGAGTCA